TACGGACTACGGCTGTTTGAAAGGTTTTCTTCCATAAAATTAATCGATTCTAGACTAATTCGACTCAACATTTCCAAAATACGTATAATTTTTTGGGAATAATCCATATAAACTTTGCTATAAACAAAAAATTGTAGGATTACTTACCGAGTGTGCACTGTTCGACGTCGCCATTGCTTAAGCTTGTTTTTGTCACGGAGCAGCGCACCAAACAGCAGCCGTGATTTCTGATGTTATTTTTCTGCGAAAACTTTGTTGAACTTTGGAGACATCATTAATAGAAATAATTTTTATGGCCGTTAAATAAGAAATGTTTCTTTCACAAGAAATGTATAAAATTACAGTGCTGTATTAGACTTACGGTACCTAATTTACATACTGTACAGATGATAGTAAACTCAACTTACTCGCCTAAACTCTCCGTAGCGTGGCGCTGGACGGCAGAAAGTATATATATATAATTATAATAAAGTTAAAATAAATTAAGTTAATATATAATTATATATAAGTACCTAATTTATATATAATACTGCACAGACGATAGTAAACTCAATTTACCCACCTAAACTCTCCGTAGCGTGGCACTGGACAGCGGAAAGTAGTTCGGCTACTCGTCCGCGATGGCAAGTTGGCAATGACGTTTCACCGCGTTTTACATATCCCTTTTAGAGTCTTTATACGAATATTGTCGCAATTTTTCGCCATGTTATAGGGGGATCTACTGTATATAGGTTCCAGTGGCTTGTCATATTTCACAACTATGTTTCAAGACTCAGCTGAAGTATCTTCTCTGCCAGTTAGTGGTATCATTTCATATATATATTTCTTTGTTAAATGCTCTACAAGTTTTATTGAGTACTCATGTGTTGGCACTATTATTTTTATTTGCTTAAGCTCTGTTTGTATTCTTAATATTGGAGCAATGGGTAAATGCCCTTCTAACAAATGATTTAAAAGCAGCTAATTTATATCTAAACAGATCATTTGAATTTGCTGGAATAAATAAAGGAATGTATTTCAGTTCATATGTATGCCCCTTCTTTAAATTTGATTTTAATATCCAAAAAATGGAAGGTTGTGTTGCTATGCTGTTCCACTTTCAGGGTAAGACCATATGGATTCATGTTAATTCTATTTAAAAAAAGGTCTATATCTAAAAGGTTTATTTCACCAAATAATGAGGACATTGTCTAAGTATCTATTATATAATGATATATTCTGGATGAATTTCAACATTATTTTGCTTTCTAGTTTACATATCGCTAATTCACACAGATCCCCAAAAGGGGGCTACCCATCAGTTACTTTCTTTGTTGTTTGTAAGTACTATTGTTGATAAGTATTTGAAGATGAAAAAACTAAGAATTACTATTGTTGAATTTAAAAAGTGATGTATAGCATTAAATATTCTAAAATTTCCTTATGATGCAAACCATCAGATCTTACTTCTCTCAATAAAAAATCTCTTAATGTGCAAAATTGCAAATTCATGGTTCTATTTATATGGAGGGGTAAAGTGACTGAAAATTTAATACTGATATATTCATCATTAACTAATGTAATTTTTTTTAATTTATCAACTAAGTTTTGCAGATCATTGCATGCAAAATCATAACCTTACATGAAATATTGGCCACACATATGTATCTTAGGTTCTAATGGCTTTGTGTGGGACCTAGCTTTATCCACAATAGGTCTCAATTGTTTCCCTGATTTGTTTGTTTTTGCAAATGTGAATAAGCTAGGTGTATCAAAGGATGGTATTGTTGCTGTTTCCAAATTTAAATGTTTTGTTAATGCAGTGTGTGTAAATCGACCATGTTGCTTTGCAATTTGTTGCAGTAATATAATCTTCCAGCTGAGTCATATATGTTGCTTTTTTTTATTAACACAAGGACTTTGGTTGTGTAATTATTAAGACTACATCATTATCTCTGACTATCTTCTACTGGCTAACCTTGTGAATAGTCCTTCTTCTTTATGGTTGTGTAGAAGACAGGATTAATCACAAGGTTTTTACTGGACTTATTTGGTATTGTTGTGTTACTGTCCTAGTGATAATTTAGAATCCTATTAATAAGATGTATGTAATAATTGTACTATTAACGTATATTGTAATGTTGGTAATTGTCACAATAGACTCTGTTTTTTGTATGCTATCCAAGTGATAGTAGCCAATAAGGCCAAAATGCATTCTGGATAAGTTAATTAAATAGGCTGGGTGTGTAATAAGCCTGTTCATTAGTCATAAGTAACTAAGTAGTTTTTGTAAGGAAAATAGATTAGTTCACATAGCTGTTGTGCATTAAGCTATTTGATTTCATTTTTAATTTTGTTAGATTTTAGAATTTATTCTAATGATCTTTTAAAATGAAATCTTTAAGTTTAAACTATTTTTAAAAATTGTTAAATATATTAATAGGTACAGCTGAAACTGTTACAGTAGAAGCAACATTATTGAAAATCTGTCATAAAAAGAGAAAGGACATTTCTTCACCAGTTATGCAAATATCAGGTAAAGAAAGTCATACTTAATTTGAAAATAATGTAATAATAATTTATATAATCAATTATTCAGTTTCAAAAAGAAATATCTGCTTAACCCTTTGCGACCAATATCTTGTTTACATTAATTTTGTAAACTGTCCGAAGGCAATATAGGTCAGTCAGGTGATATTATTTTAAAAATTCACCAAAAATCAAATTATCATTATATTCATATGAAAAAAATCATGTACATTTATTAATATCTTTAGTTTTAAATACATTATTTTTCAATACATTTTATTAGAAAAATTTATATTAAAAAAAATTATATATATCAGAACTGACATTTAAACTTGATAATTCATAACTTTTTGTGAAAATTAACATTGTTTATTTATCTCTTTTTTTGCTGGCAATGAGCCAGATAAATGTAGAATATTGTTCTATACAACTCTAGATAAGATTTATTCATGTATGTTTATTCATTGTGAAATTATCGAACATTTGTTTCAAATTAAAACTTTATAATGCTATCAACTAATATAATAAAATAATATACTTTATTCACTTCAAATCGACAAGAATATAAATTTTTGTAATAAACATATGATTTACCAGTAGTAATACATTTAACATTTGCTGATATTTTAGATAATAAAAAATATATATATAAAATGTCAGAATTGAAGGTAATAACTTGAATATTTATAACATGTTGACTTATTATAGCATAAATAAACTTATTAAAGTAATATTATTGCATGAATATGCTGAAAATGAAATAAAAAATTATCAGACAACAATAAATAGCAAAAAAAGCATTAATTAAAATTTTTTAAGTCAACAAAACACCACCTTGAGAAAAATATGTAAAATAGCAATAGACAAGACAGTGTTGTCAAGTGCTGACATCTGTTGTTGATAAATTTTATAAAAGTCGATTTTTACTAGGGTAACAATGAATCTTTACCCTCTAAGTTTTGCTTAACAATGGGGGGTAATGATCGATCAGTACTTTTGGAAGCAAAGGGTTAATGTTTATTTATATGTGTGTTTAAGAAAAATGGTAAAATTCTCTTCTTCAGCAATACAGGCACAGTGGAGACAGTTGATATACTTCACAGTGGTGACCAAAAGTTTAGCAGCAGATTAATAAAAACTTACATTAGATTCATTAGATGAATAGATGCAATATTGATGATTATTTTTGTTCACACAATGAGTAGTAAACAAACAAATTTAAATAATTTTGTGAATTAACATTAATAAGCTTGATGAACATATAGTACAATGTTATTGTTAATTGTCTACTTCGACTTTACTTATTAATAGGACTTAATACTGGTGTTTAAAGATTGGCACAGCAATGAGAGTTAGTTCAGGAAAGAACAAAATTTCTTTATTATATCACCTGTAGTAATAGTTTCTGAAATACTGGTGTTTAAAGATTGACACAGCAATGAGAGTTAGTTCAGGAAAGAACAAAATTTCTTTATTATATCACCTGTAGTAATAATTCATTGCTGTGCCAATCTTTAAACACCAGTATTAAGTCCTATTAATAAGTAAAGTCCAAGTAGACAATTAACAATAACATTAGAATTTAAGGACAGTAAGGCTTTTACAATTAACATATAGTACACTTCATGCCAGCTTTTATAAATTTAATATAGAACACTTCTGTGTTGCGGTGTTATTAATCTGAAATTTAACAAATTGCTGTTAATAATGCCGCAACATGGAAGTGTCCTATATTTAATTAATAACCTTGATCAAAATATAGCAACATTTTTGCTTTTAACAGAAACATAGACTTAATATATGGTTTTTAAAACATTTTTAGAAATTTTTTGAGAAACTTAATATTTTGTTGGATAACCAAAATTTTTAATTACTGCAGCACATCTTTGTGTCATGGAATCTTCAAGACATTCTCAATGTTCATTGGGTATGACTTCCTATACTTCTTTTATTATTTCAAACAATTTTGTTAGATTTTTTGGTTTTGTCTTTTTTATATCATTGTCATATCATTCCATAGCATTTCAATAGGATTTAGACCTGGAGACTATAGGCTATGATAAAACTTTCACTTGAGTTGCTAATCAGTTTCACAGTTCTGATTGTGTTTTTTGAATCACTGTTGGAAAATCCATTTAAACCAAATTTTTAATACCCATTTTGCACTCTTTTTTACCCTTTTACCCCGTTTCCTCAGTTAGCATCATTTTCTGCCTTTTTCAAGCTTTTGCACAAAATTACAAATGAAATTTATTAAGTTTGGTTTCATAATCAACAGTTAAATAATTTCTAACTAATTTTCCTCCTCATTTAATGTTTGGAAATTGAAATATATGCTTTTGATTGGCTGACAAATTTTAACTGTATATATGTAATATGTTAACAAGATTTGAATTTGAAAAGTACTCCTTTCTAAAAATTTTAAATTTATTGCTGTGATTTATGGGGAGAAAAAGTCAGTTGATTAATGGAGGTTTTAAAAACAGTATAAATAGGTGGTTTTCTTTGACATCTTTACTTTTTAATGAGTTTGCTCCTTTTTATTATATTGTAAATATAACAGCAAAAGCCAAATGATTGTCATAATGTATCAGGCTATTTTTTGCTACTACAGTAGAAACTTGATAATTTGTCATGTTCTATAATTTCTTACCTTCAAAGGAAGTTATTTTTAGATGCTTTTAGACAAATTTTTGATGGAAATCACAACTTTCATTAAGAATGATTGGGAAAGTTAAGAAACCAAGAGCTCTAAAAAATTTTAATCAAAAATTATTGCCTGTTGATTATTATGCCCAAAAAACGCATTGATAGATTAAGAAATTTTACAATCTGATTTGTAATGCTGTTCATATGAAATTATATCTTAAATCTAAAAATTTACCGGAAAAAATTTTTTTAATTATACACAATGCTCCAGCACATCTGTTGAATGACTTAGAAGTTGATAAAGATATAAAATGTGTCTTTTTTCCTCCCAACACAACATCTCTGATTCAGCCCATGGTTCAGGGAGTGATTGAAAATTTAAAGCGTTGCTACTGGAAAATATTTGTTTAATAATCTATTTTTTGTGATATGAGTATGAATTTTAGCAACAATACACTATTAAATATGTAATTCTCGGCATTATCGAACACAGAATAATGTTTAAAGTGGAACACTATCTCTAAGTTGGAACAAAATTTAGCCATCATATGCACTTAACAGAAGTAACAGTGATGAAAACAATGAAATAATAGAGCAAATAACAAACAAGGACATAAACAATGAAGAAGCAGATAATGATGACTAAGACGACATAATCTAATTCTTTACATTTTAATTCCAAGGAAATGTTATCAAAATGCATCGAATGGTTGCAAACAGTAAAATGAGGCAAAAATTCCAAACTTAATCTTAATGTGACATGTGTACAACTTACAATTACAAAGGGATGCAAAAAAATATTTTAAAATTCATGCAATTTTTAAAATGTAATATGTACACACATACATAGAGAAAAAGAACAAGTTTTTAAACATTCTGGCAAGATTGAAAGTATAATGAAGTATTTTTTAAAGTTATATTCATAGTTTTGATAAAATGTTTTTCAAACGTTATTATAAAAAATAGGTTATAAGTTATATATATAGCATTAATTAAAACTACAAAAGTATTTCAAAATGTGTTTTAATTATTGTTTCTAGAATTTTCTATAATTTGTCAATTTCTGTAATTTGTCATCCCTCAGTCCCGATTGTGATGAATTATCAAGTTTCTACTGTATTAATAATTAAATTTTAATTATTAATAATTAAAATAGTAGCAAAAAAATAGCTCTGTAATTATTTGGCTTTGATTAATAACATTGGTTTTGAGATGTTTGTATGTATAGAGCAGTGATCTTCAAACTTTTTGATCACATACTCCTAAGACGAAAATAATTATAAGTTGTAACCCATATATATATATATGTGTGTGTGTGTAGTCAAAAATCAAATTATTTATTATTATTTATTTTAAACAATATAAATACATTTAAATTAAATTACAAATTTACGAACCAAATATCTTACTCAGCTCTTTAAAATATTTTAAAATTTTTTTAAAAATCACCAAACACCTGATGTTGAGAAATGTTTATTAAACATTAACGTTTTTGACCTAATACAATAGACCATCTTCAGATGCACTGGAATGCGAATGTATTTTTAACTTAACATTTAAACAACAGAACATTCAAACACAATAAATAACTAAATATACTAAATGAACTAACACAATAACGATATAGATAATATAATAGAGGCATTTTTATGTATTTATTTTATATTACTTACATCATTATTGTGTTAGTTCATTTAGTATATTTTGATTTTATTTTATTATTTATTTGTTAATTTATCTAGTATTTTGTTTTAAATTTAAATGTAAAAGTGTTTGAACATTCTGTTGTTTAAATGTTAAGTTCAAAATACATTTGAATTTCAGTGCATCTGAAGATGACCTATCGTATTAGGTCGAAAACGTTAATGTTTAATAAACATTTCTCAGCATCAGGTGTTTGGTGATTTTTTTTTTTTTTTTTTTTTTTTAAAATACAAATTTACATTTTGAATTAGAATAATAGTATTTTGACTGTATAGGACACACATGCAATATTTTGAAGGGAAACTTGGCATACCCCCCAAGTATCACTTTGCATACCTCCTGGGGTACATTTACTCCACTTTGGAGACCACTGGTATAGAGTGATTCATAAGTAGAATTCAGTAGTTGTTTCTTGAAAACCATTAAAAATAGAAAGATGTAAGTCAGTGATCTTGATGGATGATCTTGAAAATCAGTGGTTTTTGAGATACAGAAGAAAATAGGGGTTTTTTTGTTTTTTGTTTTGTTTTATTATTTTTTTTTTATTATAAACTCATTCTTGCCTTTTTCTTGGAAAATGACAGAATTTTCATCTAAGAAAGGAAAAACTTTCTCATCATTATCTCAAGATGGATCTCCACAAAATATAAGAAAACGAATGGGAATCGAAGAGAATATTTCAGGTGAGTCAACAGAACAGCTGATCTTGTCTTATATAAGTGCCAAAAAGGAGATTAACGTTCAAGAAGGAATTCTACTGTTGTTGAAATTACAAGCTTCTCCAAATAGTAAATTACAAATTGTTTTAGAGCATTTCGGTAGAATGCAAGCTTGGATTGAAAATATAGACATTGCTTTGATAGATTTTGAATCCAGGTTCTTTGTCCTTGAACTGATAGAGAAAAAGGTTATGTTAAAAGTGATAAATCATTATGGTTATGTTCATAACATAATGACATCAATATAACATAACATAATTTCATCAATTTTATCACTTTTAACATAACCTTATGACCATAAGGTTATGTTAAAAGCGATAAAATTGATGCAATACATAATAATTTGCATAAAAAGTTAATGAGGTTAGAAGATAAAGAAAGAAGAAATAATATTGTAATCTCGGGTCTTGAGGATAATAATAAAATGAACGATAGCTTATTTAAGGTTCAGAAATTTTTTAGTGATAACTTAAAGGTTACAGATATGAACATTAAGCATGCTTCTAGATTTTGAAAATTTAAAACAAATGGAAAAAGATTAATTATTTGTGAGTTGATCAGTTTTGAAGATAAAAAGTATATTAAAATGTTAGTAATTTAAAAGGTTTAAATGTATTAATTAACAAAGACTACTTGACAAATACAAGAACTATCAAAAACAAATGAAGGCTTTACAGTAAAGAAATGTATTCAAAAGGAGCTAGGAATATTAAATTAAAATATAATAGATTAATCAAAGATGATAAGACATTTGTGTGTAATTACAAAGGTGAAATTATCCAGCCAGATGGAGAACAATTTTTTTTAGCAATATAGTTTACAATGATAAACAGTACAATGATGAAAAGGATAAGGATGATGAATATAAAATTCTGTACTTGGATAATAATGATAATATGAAACTTCTATTTTATAATATTGAAGGTTTAAATAATAAATATTGCTTTCCTAACTTCTGGAATCTGATGTACAGAATGGATATGTTCTGTCTGGTAGAAATGTGGCATACATCTCTCTTAATTTATCAATGTTTTCTAATGATTATAAAATTTATCATCAGATAGCTTATAGCTGTGAGGGTCCTGGAAGACCCAGTGGTGAATTAATTGTTGATCTTAGAGTAGATGCAGTCTCTGAAGTTAAATTGATATTTCAGTCACGATTTGTGCTGATTTTACAGCTTGATACTGAAGACTTAACCAATATCCATCTAATAGTGTCATATATTCTGCCTAATTATGATGATGATTTCAAGAATATTTTGTTGCTTATAGAAAATTACATGGAACTAACTTGATTTTGTGTGCAGATTTTAGTGCTATAATTTGATTATTTAGATTATTTATTATTTTTTACTGGTGATCGACAAATTGCCTTGAGTTTTGAAGGATTTCACTGTTAATAATAGAGGAAAATGTCTCTATCATTTTTGTGAAAATAACAGTCTACAGATTTAATAATATGGAAATTATAAAAAAAATATATAATTGTTAATTCAAAAAAGTGATTAAAAAGTTGGAGAAGCATATGTGCATAGTAAGTCAAATGTTGTTTTATTTCATCAATGTGTCATACTGTAAAGGAGTTGAGGGTCATGGAATTTGAACAAAGTTAGTCAGAGAAAATCATTAAATTTAAAACAAAAATTTCTTCTTTTTTTATGATACACAAACTATATTTAAATAATTTAATGTCTTTATCATTTCTGTTATAGTCTGGCAATAGTGTTGGACATTGTATTCTGACATAAGGTTGAAGCTGTTCGGATCTCTGTCGATGTACACCTTATCTTCATAAGTTGTCAGAGGAAAAGTGATTGTTTTTCAATGTCACTGGCGTCATTACTGCATGAGGCCTTCTGGTGGCATTCATAGGCGTTTATGCCCTCAGCAAGTGCTAACAATGTTTTAAGTTGAAGTGCACTTACCATCTGGAATGGGTTGTGACAGATAGTTTGGTTGTATCTGGGCTTGTTTGTGGGGTTTCCTTTTTCTTGCCGGTTGGGAGGCATGATGATGTAGGGTCTGTTGAGTCAGTGGTGAAAGCTGGTTTAAGCCAGTTGATGCTGTTCCTTGCCATTGATGTTGACCTTGAATGTCTTGCTAGAGCATTGAATAACTTTGAATGATCTGTCATATGGGGATTGCAGAGGTCTATATGTGGCAACATACAAAGACATGCGAACAGTTTTGTACATCTCGAAACACAAATGTTTCGTGCATGTTGTGACTGTGTGGTGAAACAGGATGTAATCTTCTCATTCTGCACCAGAGATCAGAGAAAAAAATCAGATGTTTCTATTATACTGTTGTTGGTGTTTACAAAAAATTTTCCAGGCAAGTGTAGTGTTTGTCCATAAACTAGCTTAGCTGAGTGGCATCAATGTCATCTTTATAGTCAGTCAAATCCAGACTGCCTATAATGACAATATTGATGCTTATATGTCCATAAACAAATAATCCTCACTCAAAAAACTTTTTAACACTACATATAATTGAAAATGCTTGTTCTTTTCAAACAAAGACCAACCTTCTTGTATGCTTTGTTCACAACACACACTTAGTTTAATTCTATTGACAACAAAAAATAATAATGGGTTAATTGACCCGAACAAAAAGTTAACTAATTGTAAAGTAGTAACAAAATCAATAATCAAAGAAACTTGTACGTATTTCTAATCATCAAAAATATTTTATCTCCACCTCAAAAAATATGATTTTACAGTAAAAGATACTATTTCCTCTAGTTTATCACCGCCATCGCTCCTACAGCAGTCACCTGAAGCTACTTCTCCGTCGTGGATGTGCCGCTTTTTATTGTACCTCGAGTGCAGCTCCGCACTGTCTTAATTTACATAAGATGTCGTTCCAGGATCAGGCATCGATGCAAACTAACAAGGAGAGCCTACGGCTTTGGGGTAACGGATTTTGATGATCTTTGGTGTAGAGGTAGTACACCATGTGAGTGTACTACCTGTAAAATACTAAAGTGCAATACTCAAATATAATCGAGAAAATCGAACTTAAAGTTTTGTTAGCACTTTATATATAAATTATACGTATTTCTATTCGAGCGTCCTGTGGCAGAGTGGTAACGAGTCTGATTCATAAGCTTGAGTTCTCGGGTTCGATTCTCGCGTATAATTTTTTTTTTAATTCATAAATACTTATAATGTATTTATTTATTTACTCATTCATTTATTTCTTATTATTTATTTATTTTAATTTAATTTCTACTATTCCAAGTCTAATATTTTTATACTTTTGTTGACAATAACGGCGCATTCTTGACACCTATGTGTCAACTTTCCCATCTAATTGTTATCACTAACGGTGACCGATCTAATTCTCACTAGGAGCGTTTTTTCTATCGGAGTTCTTTTTCACTCACTCTTTAACAGTTCGTTTCTAAATTTCGACACGAATAGACGTATTTGTGTAGTAAAACTTATTTTGAAAAATTATTTTATAATCGAAAAATGTCGTCAAGAGAAGCAAGTTCTTCACGTTGTGACGAAAAAACTGTTGATGATACCTTTTAAAAAAGCAGCATTTATTTGTTGTTCTTGGTGTAGACAGAATTTTTGTTTTGAATGTTTTTATCATAAGTATCATTCACGATCATGTACATCTGACAATGATATGTAATTATATAATATTGCTTCAATAAATTATATTCGTTTTTCTTGGTTATATTTGAGTTTTGCACTTTACAAGTTAGTATTTTACATCACTGTATAAAGAGTTATCATCAACAGTTTTTTCGTCACAACGTGAAGAACTTGCTTCTCTTGACGACATTTTTTGATTATAAAATAATTTTTCAAAATAAGTTTTACTACACAAATACGTCTATTCGTGTCGAAATTTAGAAACGAACTGTTAAAGAGTGAGTGAAAAAGAACTCCGATAGAAAAAACGCTCCTAGTGAGAATTAGATCGGTCACCGTTAGTGATAACAATTAGATGGGAAAGTTGACACATAGGTGTCAAGAATGCGCCGTTATTGTCAACAAAAGTATAAAAATATTAGACTTGGAATAGTAGAAATTAAATTAAAATAAATAAATAATAAGAAATAAATGAATGAGTAAATAAATAAATACATTATAAGTATTTATGAATTAAAAAAAAAATTATACGCGAGAATCGAACCCGAGAACTCAAGCTTATGAATCAGACTCGTTACCACTCTGCCACAGGACGCTCGAATAGAAATACGTATAATTTATATATAAAGTGCTAACAAAACTTTAAGTTTGATTTTCTCGATTATATTTGAGTATTGCACTTTAGTATTTTACAGGTAGTACACTCACATGGTGTACTACCTCTACACCAAAGATCATCAAAATCCGTTACCCCAAAGCCGTAGGCTCTCCTTGTAAGTTTGCTTTTTCTTTCATGGTCACTGGTGCTTAGGAGTTTGTCCTTAACAAAAAAAAAAGAACCCCGAAAAGAAAATAATTGAATAAAAATAACGCCCCAAAACATAAAATAACGATCGGACATTGACTCCTTTACAAGTCTAATGTGGTTGAATGCAGTAAACAAACTAAAGTTTTTGAAGTAAAGTTTAAGAAACTAAATTTGGCACAGTAGCTTATGTATAAAGAGGCATTAATGCTATTAAAGGTAGACAAGATGGAAACATAGAAGGAGTTGTGTCATCTCCAGTCTGTTTTGACTATTTTACTCGTTATTAGCATTCACAATTTTTTCTTTTATATAAAACTCGTCTTTACCCTCAAAATTAAGCTTTTTGTCATTTTATAATAGTACAGTAAAACCCATTAAAGATGTTCTTTCCTGAGATGTTATAATGTGTATGGGGGCACGATTTAGTTCAACCACTTTGAAGCTTAATAACTCCTGTGTTAAACCATCTGACTCCGATTTAAAAATCACAGAAGTTATTAGACTTCAAACTGGGTGAACAAAATCATACTCCACCCAAACAATCCATACATACAGGAAAAAAAAATTGAATCTTTTGCATATCTGGACATTTCCAGGTGTCCTGAGTCAAAAAATGTAAAAATTTAGGAGAGGTCATTTTTTGACCAATTGCTACACTTTCCCTCCATTATATATAACAGCTGGGAAAGTAAAAATTATCAAATACGTATTTATGTATTAACTGTGTCATTACTTAGAGTAGTCTTTTAACTTTGGAATAAAAAAGTTTCTACGTTCTATTTTATTAAAACTCTATTTATTGAATCTCTTATTCTGAGGTCGTATGATGACATCAGAATTTCTGGGTCTGTTTTGATAACAAGTCCTACCCTGGTTGGAGTTGGAGTCTGTAGATTTTTACACAATTCCACAACCCTGTTTTAATTATTAATTGTAGCAGTAATATAGTCCAATCTAATCCAACAATCATTTGGCTTTTATATATTAAGTCTGTGTTTTTGTTAAAAGCACAGTTGTTGCTAAACTTATTGTCGAGGATATTAATGTTAATTCACATGTAACTCTTTAATAAATAATTTTGTATTAAATTATTTTACAGCATTTTTTAGATTTGTTTGTTTGTTTACTATTTATTGTGTGAACAAAAATAAACATTGACGCTTTATCTGTTATTAATTTAATGCAAGTTAATACTAGATACATGCATGCACTGTCAGATGCATTAAAATCTTTTTTATGATACAAGTACTGTACTTTCAATGATGCAAAATTGTCATCATTATGCTAGTGAATATCTCAAATTTGGAACAGAACATCACTACATGCAGTATAACATTCTCACCGTTTGTTTAGAATTTTGAAATGTTGAGGATGTTATACTGCATATAGCAATGTTCCATTCTAAATTGGAGATGTTTGCTAGCTTGACGACAACAATTTTGCATCATTGAAATTAACTTGCATTAGAAAAAAGATTTTAATGCCATCTGACAGTGCATATATGTTTGTATCTACTATTATATAATATTTGGCATGGAGTTTAACATGCTATTTGTCTAATGTAGATTTTGTTCGTCTATTGCTAAACTTCTGGCCACCACTGTATGTGTAGCCACTAGTGCATGACATTAATTATTTAGCTAGCTGACTTTGATTGTCAAGGTCATTCTTAAACAATGAATACAATACAAAACTAAGTGAACCCCAGAACCAGTGAATGTAGATATAAAAAAACATATAAGAAATCTTTGCTATTCTTCACTTTGGACAATCATCTGAATCACTCCAACTTCAGTATGTACAATTGAAATCAACAAAATATTTATGCTTTTGTATGGTTGTACTCATTATGTTTAATCATTACTATTTATTAAATAATGAAATTTTAAGTTTTAACATTTTCAGTTGGTAGATGTGAAGTACCAAGAAATCCTGATCCAGATCATCCTCCTGCCAAGGCAACCGCTCTTTCCGTCCCAAGTGATAGCTTCAGCCTTAATAATGGTCATCTAGTCAAGTCTTACGTTTTGTTGTTACGTGTTGTTGTTACAGGTGGAAGGATTAAACTAAATGGTATATGTAATGGTGAATTGAGTGATTCAGGTAAAGTATAAAATTAAATATATTGAAATTGTTTTAACTTTACAATCGTTTTCTATGATAATTTATATAATTTACTTGTCATAAAATTGAAATTTTATTGAATATTGTATTCTAAATATTTGTTTTAATTATCTTAAATTATTTTTTAAAAAAAAAAGGAAATTTAATTGAAATTTTAACATTTTTAAGTTCAAGTTAGATCATTTTCAGAAACATAAAAAAAGGCACTAAAAGACTATGACACAAAATTTTTTATTTAATATTTAGATACTTATTAAATTCAAAAATATTTCATATTTAAGTTACAAACTTTTATTATATTTATTTATAATTAAAGAAGTAAGAGAAGATTTTTTGGGGGGAATATCAGAAAATCTTAAAATGAATCATTTAATTTTACTTTGTCTGTTTATTATTTTTTAATTTAGAGTAATAATATAATTGTATAGTTAATTCTGAATTCTATAAAGTTAATAAGTATTAGTTTTCCTTCACACATTTTTAAAAATTAGTTGTAAAATACTCGTGAAAACTAGTAAACGATGACACTGTGTCCATTATCAAACGCACGACTTCAAATTGTGTTTGAGGAATCTACATAAATTTAATTTCCAAAACATAGTCATAAAATAACAATCATTATTTTCATATTTAAAACATAAAATGTTTATTTTGTGCAAAAAGTTATAATTCAATTAAACACAAAATTTCAAGATAAATCTGTGAAAACTATTTCTGTAACATATGTTAACATGCTAGCTGTTAAAAAATATATAAAAGTTTTGAGATCAGTCTGCATTGTATTTTTTAATGTGATTTTTGTGCAATGAGTCTTATTTATTATTATTTTCTCAGATTTGTCTCAATACTATTCACATTTGCTTTCATGGATATTGTTCCTGGGCTTAGCCACTTAGTAGTCTCAGTGCAAGTAAAGCATTGCTGTATTTTTATACTTGTGTACATATGTTAAAAAAATGCTACAAAATGGCTTCATTATATGACTTCAATTATCATGTATATATAGTTTATTAATTAATGAATGAATTTTTATGTATATATACAGGGTTGGCCAAAATGATGTGAGTAATTTCTGAATATTTTTACAAAAACAATTAGCAATAGGAAAGTACAACATGCAGTATTTGAAACAGGAACTCAGAGTTTCAGATTATGCTTGCACAAGTTAGTTTTGATAGCTACCATTAGCACAAAATTGCAAGTGGATTGAAGTGTTTTTATGTCATGACAAAAGATAGTTTATGGACCTTTAGTATGCCATGATACGTCGGATCTGTGGCTTTTGCCACGGCCTCTGAACAACAGACCCAATCCCATCTTTTGGCAAGATGGAGCGTTGCCACACATTCATTACAAGATATTGGACATTCAAAAGGATTTTGAACATTCAGTATTTTGGTAGAAGGATAGGACAAACAAGTCATATGGCCAGGTCTGCTGGATCACGAGATTTTAATTCCTAGATTTTTTCTCTGGAGGTAATGGGCAGTGTTTACATATTGGCCTTTGCCACAAAACGCGATCAATTCAAAAGATTGCATGTACTGAATTGTAAAAAAAAAAAATTGAACACCAGATATCAGTTTCTGCTTGGCAAGAAATCATGTATTGTTTTGATGCATGCCATGCAACATGTGGTACACACATCTAACTTTCATAATTAAAGTAGAAGCAAAAACCATTTAAGTTACTATTTCAAATAATGCATATTTCATATTGCTGTGTTTGATAGTTTTTGTTCAATAAATGTTTCTATTCTCACATAATTTTGATTTATACTATGTACAGAGTGAGTTGAAAGTTCTTGCATCTTTTTCATTCCAAAATAATGTAGTCACATAGGAAGTCAAGTATGGAGAACTGGATGGAACTGTTTCTTTGTTGATGTTGAAAAATGATTTTTAAATCACTTTTTAATGAGCAGAGGTAATGTAAAAGTTCCAATGACAAAGTTAAAAAGCACCATTTAACTAGTCAAACCATTTTTTGGATTCAAATAAATATTTTTAGGACTGCTTAATTTGCATCTTTAAATTTATCAGGAGTAAAAATGATTTTGCTTTGTATAACCCTGAAAATTCAAGTAAAACAACATAATTTTTACTCCTGATAAGTTTAAAGATGCAAATTAAGCAGTCCTAAAAATATTTATTTGAATCCAAAAAAATGGTTTAAGACTAGTTAAATAGTGCTTTTTAACTTTGTCATTGTAACTTTCTTTTGCATTACCTCTCCTCATTAAAAAGTAACAACATAAGTGACCTTGAAAATGATTTTTCAACATCAACAAAGAAAAGGTTTCATCCAGTTCTTCATACTTGACTTCCTTTGTAACTACAGTGATAAAATTATTATATCTTCAGTATTTATGACTCACCTTGTATGTCATTAAACAATAAACAAAATTTAGAAAGAAGTTATATGAAAGTCTTACAAGAAAGTATTAGTATATCTTTGTAGTTATTACAATTATGATAATATAAGTAACTTATATGAAATACATTGGATTATATACATGTTATTGTTACAAATGCATATAATATGCAACTAATGCACAGTCTTTTGTATAATTTCAGAAATATCAGAAAAATTTTCCATAATAGACTAAGAAAATGTTAGGAGAATCAGTATTCAAATTTTTGTGGATTAATTGACATTGTGAAAATAAACAGGAAAATTTAACTATACTTTCTTTCTATTGTTCTGATTCGTATTAGAATATATGATGATAAAATAAGAAAAAAAAATTGTATAGAATATAGAAAATTTTAAAATGTAAATAGGTTATTTACAAAGTATAACTAACATCTTATTTCTTTAAGGAAATAAAAAAACTATACTTTATTGTTATATCTGAAAACCATTCAGTTTGCAACAGAAATAACATATTGTTTGTGATCTGTACTGCTATCAATGTAAAACTTTGTTTATAATTAGTTGTAATATTGAAAAGTTAAATTTTTTTTTTACTTTCAATTACAGAAGAGCCCCCTCATAAAAAAAGAAAAAATGGCAAAGGACAGTTTGACGAATTTCGTCAGTTTGGAGCAGAGTTAGTCGTTTACGACAAACAGCAACGCTGTTTGCTCTCGGATGGCGAATATCAGCTAGTCCTACAAGAATGCGGACATCAAACATCTCCTAAAAAGTCCTCGTGGGAAACATTAGCAGATAGTAAAGAGAAGGTATTAAAATAATATTAACTGATAGTTTATTTAGCCCCATATGACTTCTGGCTATGAGATTTTTTGAAAGACTGGGTCTATTGTGAAAGATGTTCATTTGTATTAGATCTAAAAGAAGAGTTAATTGGCGTGTTCTCATGATTAAGTGGACTCATTGCATTCATCAGTGGAAAACGTGCTTTTGCGAATGGAGCACATAGTGATCATTTGTAACTGTGATTTGTATAGTCCCAGCACCACCTATCAGTGACTTTTTGTTTTATTTTATAAATGGCAAAGACATCATCTGAAGTACTTGTTGTCCGAATGATGTTTCATTTTGAGCAGTAGAACATACTCCAGAGCCCTTTGAGTTGTGAAAGTTTAATTTTGACAATCTTGTGTATAAATTCTGTGTGATTAAATTTTTAATACTTGGTTTATGGAAAAATTTTCATTGTTCTGTTATTATATATTTTTTTATTTTTATTGTTGATGTGTGTGGTTGCTTATTTTGCTCATTGGACATTGCTACATATTTTTTGTGTAAAGAATAAAGAATTTTCCATTATTTACAGGTCAATGGTTCTTTTGATGTATTTAATAAAGGACCTCTAGTAACATTTCATCTTACGTGGAATGATAGTCTGATTAACGGTATCGTGGAGATGCCACAAACTATCGGCTCAACGGAGGAACAGTTTTCACTAAGCAAATGTCAATTAGATCACAGTATGTTTTTCCTGTTTTACTTTTATTTTATTCTTGTTAATTTATTTAAATAAAATATAACTTACATTATTTATGCAAATATTTTAGATTATTTTCATCCATTTATAGTCAAGATGGAAGGAGAAACAGATAAACCAAAGAAAAAGCTTCACATTTTCTATCAGTTTCAATATAACAACAATACACGTCAGCAAACTGAAGCGAGAGATGATTTACATTGTCCGTGGTGTTCTGTGAATTGTATAGAATTATACTGTTTATTAAAACATCTTAAATTATGTCACAGTAGATTCATTTTTACATATGTGGTAAGTTCTTTTGCTGCAAATATGATAAATTTTTTTTGTAGTAAGACTGTAATGAATTTGAATAATTAATAACAATAAATTTAAGCTTTTTAGTTAGATCCAAATTGAATATTTCCAATTTATTATATAATAACAGCATTAAATTGTTATTTTTAGAATAAATTTATGAATATTTTAATCTTATTTTTAATAGTTTTGCTTAACTATTTTGCAATTAATGTCTTCATTAGTTGCATTATGAACTATTTTGCAATTAATGTCTTCATTAGTTGCATTAGTTGCACTAATGTCTCCATTAGTGTTTAAAAATTCAATTATTATAGTTATTATTATCATATTCTTTGATATCTATTTATTTATTTCCTGTACTACAAAGTGATTATTGAAATCTGTATCATTGTTATGAGTATTTATAATATACAAGTACATTTACAACACATTTTCAAAAAACACAGTCAAGTCTTGAGTTTTGAATGCCTCACTTTTCAAACAGTTCAGTTTAAAAACAAAATTTTGAACTTCATATTTACCTTGGTTGCCGAACAAGCTGCTTGTCAAGAGCCAGCCACAGATTAAACACAAACCATGAGCTCTCTATACTTCCTGTGTTAAAGTTGATGGCCTGACCAATTAGTGACAGCATTATTGATCCAGATGTTAGTGACATTGCGATTACCTCGCATCATTATACATCACAACACAAACCATCAGTGATGTTGCTATCCAGATTAGATTTCAATGTGCATGTGAGTAAGATATTACCGTTTTTTGTTACCCATCACAATTGAATTTAAATCAATTTAAGTAATAAAAATCACATTAATTGACATTTGCATAATATAAATGACATCCAAAAATTTGTGTTTGAAGATGCTTAACTCAAATTAAATAAGAGAAATTTATTATTAAATATAATTTTTTTATTATTTCACACTAATATAGTACGTAATCGACATTTGGCATTATATTTAACAATATTAATTAAATGCAAGAACTTTTAACGAACGTCTTTTAGAAAAACTTGGGTATCTGTAAGCCAGAAAAAAACAAAAAACAAATTTAATTATTTTTCTGATTTTCAGGAAAAGTGAACAATGGCAAATTTTTGCTTTCATAAATTATGCATTTAACTCTATTTTTCATTTTTAAATAAATTGGAAACCACAGGTCTAGACATGGCAAATTGGAATCGAAATTATTGACATCACTTGTGGTTAATGGAAAATGTAAATCACATAATCATTGTAGTACCATGCTTCAGCCAATGGTGTGCTGAATATCTTTAGTCACATGATCTCAAAGCTGACCATCTATGTGTCTAATCTGTGGAGCTGGCAGCACAGCATAAGTTTGTGATAAACTGTTCTTTGACTTTGGTGCGTTTTCTTGCATTGTGTATTATTTCCTCTGCTTTTCTTAATTTCATAAGCCACTATAGCACTTAAGAAAGCTAGTGTAGGTGTAAAGGCAAAAAGGAAGAGAGTGAAAACAACATTAGAGGTGAAGAAAGAGATCATGTGGAAGCATTGTTTTTGGATGGATTATCAATTAAAACCAAAGTATCACTGTATTTTTTGTTCTATGTTATTTTCATTGCGTTTTTATATTGTTTTATTTATAGTTTGTATTTTTTGCTGTAGTTTAAAGGTTGTGTGAGAGTTAGTACACTAAACAAACTGCAAATTTGACCTAATAGTTTAAATTTTCATACACTATTATTACTTTTAATTTAAAAGAGAATAAATAATATTAGACTAACTTTATATTTTATTTGGTATTCAATTTGTTGAACAATAATAGAAGGTATTGTGATTGCCTAGAAAAGCTATTATTTTGATGTAACTGTGATGAAATTTGTTAATAACTTTTATAGCAAAATACCAACTATTATTGCATGAGTTTGGAGAAAAATAATTAATAAAAAAGAGGACATACTGTTATCAAAATCAGGATGTTCCAGCATTAATAGAACATGTACTAATCAGAATTAATTATCAAATAATGATTTAAATTATGAAATTTGCATAAAATCACATTCAAAGAGTGAAAAGAAAAGTTTAATAGGTCTTACAGTGCATTACAGTCGATCCCCCTATAACACTGTTGATTATTTCGTTTTATATGAATTCCCTGTTGTATGAGTCACTTAGAGTTTACAAATACGTGAGCCGTTCATAAGCCGGCACACGTATTTGTAAAATCTAAGTGACTCGTACAACAGGGAATTCATATAAAATGAAATAATCAACAGTGTTATAGAGGGGTCAACTGTACTTTTAAAAATGGGATGTGGAAAGAACCGAACTGAAGAGGAGAAGAGGAAAACAGATGTATTTCACCTTGAAAGGAGAAACATGACTTGTATGTCTTAAAATTTGGGAAAGATCTCATTCAACAGTCTCAAAGTATCAATAATAAAGATCAGTGAACAGGAAAGCAAAACAAGAGTTCGACTATACCAAGAGAGCCATGTGCAATTTTTTAATGTGCACCTCAAGAAGAGATATCCATTCAAAAAGTCAAAAATGAGTTGAAGCTGAGTTTCAGCAAATCAACAGTACACACTGTTTTGAGATCAACAATGTTACTTTTATCAAAATGAACACCAGCAACTGGTTTAAGGAGAAACAAAATAATATAAATTTTCGTCTACAAGTACGTATTTTCTAATATCAGGACTTATTATACTGGCTTTACAGATAATGCTACAGAGTTTCACAGAAAACAATTTTTTGTTTTATTTAATATACCTGTATATTATATTATAGTAAGTTAAGGACATTGAGGCATTTTAATTAAGAAACAAAATAACTTCAATTACAGTTTGTCAGAAATAACTTTGAAAGAGGAGAAAGATGGTATGGAGTAGTCTTATAGGATGAGAAAAAGTAGAATTTTAATGAATTCAATGATTTTAATTATTATTGAGCAGACAAGAGATTAGATCAAAAGCAATGCTTGAAAAGGGTGACTGGTGATGGATTGGGCTGGATTTGGATGAAATGAAAAGACAGGCTTATTGAAAGCAAAAACAACTCTTGGGAGCTTGTTCAGAACAGCTTTAAACTTATAGAGAATTGATAGATAAGATTTCAGATTCATGCAGCTTCTATGTATTTTTTTTACAGAGCAAGAACTTTCAAACTGGTTGCCCTTCAACAAGATTTATTAAACTCTACTGAGAATATATTAAAAAGCTTTTGCCTGTATTATTTAATTACAAAAACATAGTTACTTAGGACTAACAAACAGGCTTATTATACTCCCAGTGTATTTAATTAATCTCTCCAAAATGCATTTCAACCTTACTGGCCCTTTTCAATTGGAGAACATACAAAATACATAGTCTATGGTGACTATAACCAACATTACAATATATCTTAGAAGTACAATAATACCAAATTATTATTAGGATTATAAATTATATCTAGGTTAGTATCAATACAGTACTATGCAAGTCCAGTAAAAAGCCTTGGGAAGTAGTCCTTTTGTCTTATTTATAGTTGTGGTTATTTTCTTTTCTTCTGTCTTCACCAGAGTTGTAGGGTATGCTAGCTCAATTTTCATTTTTTGATTTTTGTTCTGATTTGGATTGTTTTTAAACACTTCTTCCATTACAATTAAGAATGTTCTTCATATGCATGTTTTGGTCTTGATACACAACTGTTAGTGAAATCAGCACTCAGACAATAGTAATACTGCAACATGTGCTTAAAGTAAGTTACTACCACTAATAAGCCTGTCCACTGAGAATCTTTGGAGCATCTTGCTTTTCTAAATTTATGGCAATAGAAAGCAATATAATATTCTCTTCAAACTGAAGGCTGCTCTCTTTGAAGCATGAGGATAATATTCCACAAGAAAGACTGCAATCTTTGACCACATCAATGTCTGACTGAACTTTTAAGCTTGTCACCAAAAATAGTAGCAAAATTATCTATTGATTTTAATTTATCACATGTTAAACTGTTCTATTAATGTTGAACAATCTTTTGTTCATTAATCATTTTTCTGCAAACTAGTGCAATAATAGTTGATATTTTGCTATAAAATATATTACCAAGTTTTATTAAAGTGACATGAAAATAATAGTTTCTAGGCACTCACAATATGTTCTATTATTGGTAAACAGATTGTATATACTTGTATATGGTATATGCCACCATTATATTCAATTATATATATGCTACTGGCAAGATCTGAAGGATCAGCAGTTCTAGGATTGCCTAGGCAAAGTTAAGATTGCCTTGAACAGAAAACGTACTCGGCAAATTAATAATCAAAATAATCAACACCTAATCCGAAGACTTTAGCGAAGACTGCCGAAAAAATGGAAATATACAGAAGCAAACTTGATGATAAATGTATAAATGCCAGAGATGCAGAAGGCCTACCCTCAGCATGGAAAGTTTGGTATTAAAAGACTTACAAATGGCTTATGAATGATGACTTGATTCGCAATTCACGTTATGAGAGCATTTATAATTTTTGTTAACTGTTAATGGCTTATACTATTACTTATTTATTTTTGTATGTTATTTATTTTTACACTTAAATTATTTTACTTAGTTACTCAGTTGTCGATATTTTTGAATTTTGAATTTAATGTTCTATTTTTTGCGGTTATTCCATATTTGTTTTAACTTGAAGATGATCTATGGAGTAGATTGAAAACGTTTGTTTTTTAAATAAACTCCCTCGGCAACGGATTAGGTGTTGATTATTTTGGTTAATTAAGATTGCCAACAGTATTTTACACACTGTCTGAAATAAAGTTTTATTTTGGGCTTTGCCCAGAAACAAACTAGGAAAACTTAAGATTGCATAAAAAAAAATTGGACAATGTCCAAATGTGATAATTTTGTTCACACATTGCCTACTTTATTGGGTTGAATAGGCATGTGATGAAAAACAAGAGAGGGTTTTGTAGAACACTTTATTGAAGAATGAACCTTACTTATAGGAATTGAAACATGTCGATAAAAAGAGAACAAACAAAACTTCTATACCTTACTAAAATACATATGAATGATTTAACCTAAGACTTACTTGATAGCACTAGGGACACTGCATGAATTTTCTGTGTCATGATAGAATCAAGGTGGAGTGTTGTGTTTTTGTAATTAAGGAGTTCTGCATATGTCAGAAAGTGTTTTGTTTGCAATTGAAGTTTAAAGCATCCACCACCACTAAATGTGATTTTTACAAATATGTACAACTTGGCAAGGTTGACTTGACAAACCAGAACTTTGAATTTCAATCTATGGTGGAAATATTCAAGGTCAAAGTTTGCCACGTAAAGTCTATTGGTCAGTTGCAAATTGTAGGCTGGTCAAACACTACATGTCAATCAAGTTTCTTATCGTTCTCAATTTATATTGATGTCTATGACAATTTTTTATTTTGGCATTTAACATGCAAGGCCTGTTGCCATACATCTGTGTGTTTTAAACTGCTTTAGACAAAGTGTTAGAAGCACGTCACCACAATTGTTTTTTCACATGATGCCAAAACAGAAAAACGTATGCTGCAGAGTTTGGTTTTGTCTTCCTACAAAATACCTAGTTAAAAAAATTTTAATTAGTATTAGTACATATAAATCTTTTGCTTCATCTAATCCAAGCACTGACAAGAATTTGAATGTGTATGGATATGTATGTGAGTGAGAGAGAAAGAGAGTGTGTATGTATATGATCAGAAGAAAATGGTTGCTGGCCACACAATAAGACAATTTTTACACTTGTCTTTCACAGAGAAGAAATCCTTACATTCACTCAGCATCAATTGCTTTGTTCATTTTTGGCACCAATTTTTCATTAGACATGCATGGTGCTTCTTTTTTTTCCTCCTAAATTCCATTAGTCATGGTCAATCACATCAGGGAGCACTGACATTGACACTTTGTCTCTACTGCATCTTGAAAACAGTCATAGAACCTCTTTTTTTTATTACATGTTTGGATTCCTCATCACAATTTATGGAAAATGGAAATGTTTAAGTTTTATTTCAGACAATGCATAAAACAATATTGGCAATCTTAACTTTGCATAGATGGTCCTAGGACTGCTGATCTTTTGGACCTTGCCAGTAACCTATATAATTTCTGTTTACTTTGTGCTGATGCGATCATAATAGTGAACTGTCAAAAATCCAGCTTAAAAAAAATCTTTATTTAAAATGACAGTAAATAATTTAATTAATTGCAGGTTACAAAACCATTTTGCCCATTTCTGCTGCTATTGTGATAAATGTGTGTGCAATAAATGAACATTACTTGTAGTTTGAAATACATTTTTATAAATCTGGACAAATGTATTCAGTTGAGATATGTTGGACAAATTTATTAATTAATATATTAGGTTGATTTAAAAATTTCTGGAATTTGCTAGACCTGCATAACATTTGGAATTGTTCTCAGATAATATCTAGAAGTTTCTTTGCACTCTGTAAAAAGAATGTTGAGGTGTACAGTCATAAGTGAAAAGATATTTTGTGTGACGATACCAACTTTTTAAATACCGGTATGTGAAGTTTGCCAATGCTTTCTCGTGACTAAATTCTCACACATGCACTTTACAATTATCAATTTCATAAAAAAGCGGACTAATCTTATCACTGTATAGAGTGTAATTGTTTGGCAAGAATGGTTTGTTAAATTTAAAACTGGACAATATGAAGTCAAAGATATGGCACGCTTACAAAGGTCTTTCTATTTGATGAGCTGCAGCAGCTGGTGGAAGTTAGCCCACACCTGACCAGCAAGAAATGAACAAGATGCTTGGTTGTTTGTAATTTAACTGCTACTGGAAATGTCTGTAAGATCTTTCTTCGTGATAATGCAAGACCACACATATCAAAGTTGACCCAACAGAAGTTGCTTGTCCCTCACTACCATTATAGCCCAGACACTGTATCTTCCAACTGCCATTTCTTCCATTCTCTGAAACACTTCTTGTATGGAAAGCAGTTTGTTTGCCAATGATGAGATGAAAGTTGCATTTGCAGAGTTCTTCTGGTCAAAACGGCCAGAGTTTTTTTTATTCAGTAGGAATCTGATCTGCTCAATTGATGGAAGAAAGTGCTTGAATGAAATGACAATTATTTTTGAACAATTTTTTTTTTTCTTGAGATACACACAACAATTAACACCTCAATACTACTTCCAGCAGTCAAACGATTTTAATATTCTAACGTTTTCGGCCGTCTTTTAGAGGCCCTCTTCAGGATGAAACATTAAAAAACAGTTCTATCTTTTGAAGGATTCTAATAATCGAATACAGCTGTGTTCCGAACTTTTAAATCTACTTTCCAGTTTACGTGTGTTAATTTCTTGAGATACATGTTTTACTATAAAATTGGGAAATTTCAGAAACTTTTGCATCAACTCAATAGCTAATTCAGTTTAATATTCTGAAAAATATTTTAAGAACAGTCGACCCCCCCTATAACACGGTAGATAGGTTCCGGTTTTTATGAATCCATTTTCTACGAGTCCAGTCAATCACAGCCCAGCACATATGCAGTTTACGGACTACGGCTGTTTGAAAGGTTTCTTCCATAAAATTAATCGATTCTAGACTAATTCGACTCAACATTTTCAAAATACGTATAATTTTTTGGGAATAATCCATATAAACTATGCTATAAACAAAAAGTTGTAGGATTACTTACCGAGTGTGCACCGTTCAACGACGGCATTGCTTAAGCTTGTTTTCGTCGTGGAGCTTGTCATCAAATGGCACTTGCATGCTTCCCGATAAATTACTTTTTTTGCGAAAAATTTGCTGAACTTTGGAGACATCATTAATATAAATATAATTTTTATGGACGTTAAATAATAAATGGTTTTTAGTAGGTCCGCTGCTCATTTAAACTCAACAGTTTGTGCAATATCCGCTATTGGTCTAGATTCGACCAATCCTGTCGCGACACGAGTCGGCGATGACGTTTTACCGAATTATACGAGTTTTTTTAGCATGTTTGTTCAAATACTGTCGCAATTTTTTCACTGTCATATAGGAATCCAAACTATGGGAATCCGTGTTATAGGGGGGGTCTACTGTATAAGTTTTTAAAAAATATTTCTTTAGTGATGGAAATGGAAAGATAAAGTTATATTAAATATTTGAATTTACTTAGCCTCATTTGAAAGGAGCAAGAATTGATGTGTCAATTAACGAATGTTATGATGGTTCTTATGCTGGAAACCCTCATGATTTACATTCTCATACCGGTTTTGCATTCGGCAGAAGTGGACCCGTTCGACGTACTCCCGTGACTCATTTAATGGTCTGTCGGTAAGATAGACATTTTCTTTATTTAAAAACATTGTGCCAAATTATTAATCATTAAAGTTATAATTTAAATTTAAATGAAATTAATTACTTCATTTATTTCAGTATTTTAATGGTACAAGTTTTGGTACATAACCAGCATAATATTATTTATTCAATCATTATTATTTATCAATACTACATAAGAATGATTTAACAATTCAGTCTCTTTAAAAAAATAAATTAGTATTATAGAGTTTATCATTAATTTTCATATATAAAAGTAACGAAATTGACTTGATGATGGTATCAGATTTTTAATTAAAATTAAATTTATATTTATAAACATAATAAACTTTTAAGAAATAAAATTAAAAGTTTTTAAATGTTTACTTTTGATTTTTCTTACTTATTTAAATTTAATTTTTTTAAACATTGTTCACAAATTAACCTTTTCTGTATTTCTGAGTAAAGAACCAAAATGGCAAACATTTTTGAGCAGTTTAATTGCCCTGTTCAAAAATGTGTTCTATTTGTAATACTCGTTTCATATTGTTCTATAACATTTGAATTCATTTCAAATTTAAATTTATATTTGTTGATATACAAAAAATTTCAATTAATTTTACCATGTATATTTTAAAATACTTCCATAAATAAAAATATAAGTTTTACATGGTTCTCCTGTTGACTCTTCTTTGGGGGGTCATATAAGGCTTTCCATGCTGTTGAGAGCAAATCAGCATTTCTTATGTTGATGCAATTTTTTCCATTGATGTTTTCTGTATTTCTAATTGGGCTGAAATTTTAAAATTGCAAACCTATAAATTCCCACTGGTGTTTCTGTCTGGTGTCTGTCCTTTCTTAATCTTGAGAACAGAGTTAGATAGATGAAAGTTGAGACCAGATATGGAAAGCATAGGAGCCGGAACCCGATTAACTGTATACAAACTTCTGGTCTTTTACCAGAACTTACAAAATTTTTTAATCGAAATAACGTAACTTCCATTCCAAAGCATCCTACTTTATTTCTGTTCAAAAATTTTCTCCAGAACTGAGTTAGATAGATGACTGGCAATATATCACAAATAACATACTAACAAACTAGTATAAAATACAAAGATTTGTTTTATTTCAAATACAAATATTATTATAAATTTTTTTCTAGTAATCAAATGGATATTTTAAGTCTCCTATTTATAAACCAAAAATTCAATTTTATTTTAAAATATAATTTTTGATAGTTGTACATAGCTTAAAAACTTCTTGACATGGTTTAGTCAATATTCTGTTATTAACTTAGAATATTTCTTTAATTAAGGGATTGTGGCACTGTTGGCACCACTGTAGACGAACTTTTCAGTTCTTTGCAGAAATCAGTGGTTTTTGTATAGGCATATGACTGTTCATTCTGGTTCTTTTCAGTTCCCTGTGCATAGTTCAGGTAGATATGGGTTTGGATGGGATTCATTAAATTCTTCCATCAATTGCTGCAGAGAGGAAGTCCTTTTTTTCTTCTCTAGCCTTTTCAGGCGATGTCAGTCGTGTTCCTGATTAACTATTTTGGAGCCACAGTAACTTATTTCAGACATCAACTGCAGGTTATTTTTACACAAATTGAACACTCAAGATACCTCACCTTTGGAAAAACCAGTCAGCTCTACAATTCTTGATATTGTGACTCTAGTGAAATGGGCACACACAACCAGCCCTTTTTGAAACACTGTTGAGTCCTTCATTTTCCCATTTTCCTAAACTTAATGACCATACTGATTAACAGCATTCTTAAATAGGAGTTTATGAACACATGGTAACTCACATGGCTCAAGTGTTTTGCATATAAGCTGCAAAATTACATTTACTTAATATGCATGGAGATTTTTAATTCTTTAACGAGTGAGTGTAGTTTGTCAATGTGCCATACTGTAAGGGACATGCGGGTACATCAGATCGAGAGCAGTAACTGATGCAGCAAATAAATTTTCTTGTGCAGACAGACCATAAGTTTGTGTTTTAGTACTGTAGAAGCTGGACTGGGTAATGCATTTTGAATGCTTCGATTGTGCTTTGACCAAGAGGTTGAATTTTTGATGTAGTGTTTGGAGGCAAAAATTTTAATCTTACATTTGTAAGATGATTCACTTTGGGATGGGTAGGACAATTGTCTACTACCAGGAAAATAGATTGTTTTTTAGTTTTTGGTCAATACCTCATATCCACTTTTCAAATAGGGCACCAGTCATCCATGCAGATTTGTTAGATTTCCTGGTGACGGGAAGGTCTTTGTACTGCAGCTTGTTTAATGAGCATGACTTTGCCAATTTACCAGTCACAAAATGTTTTAGCTTCTCTCCAGTTAAGCTATCACACAGCAGAACTGTGAAACATTCTTTAGAAAGTTTTCTACTCTTATATTTGTTACCTTTCATAACAAAGCTCCTGTAAGGCATTACCATGAGCCTCATCAGCATTAAAGATGTCATCTTTGAAACTACTGACGAGGTTTGGAAACTTTCAATGAACTCTTCAATAACTTCTACTGAACTTCATTAGATTCATCAAACATTTTCTGGGAGATCTCATGTATCAGTTTAAATTTCTTGAGTCAACCACTTGATGATTGGAAATCTGATAACCTGAGCACCTTTGCAAACTTTTTAGCAATTTCTTGGATCATTGGGCCAGAGATTGGAGTGTTAACTGCCCTCATTTGTTTGAACTGGCTTAACATGGCTTCATTGACTTTATCTAGTGAAGTTTTTCTCCTTTCCATTATAAATCTCTACTTTGTTGTATCTCTCCAAGTACTCATCCTTATGTTTTTGGATATTGCTTACTGTCATCTTACTTACATTAAAACCTGGTTCTTTTTCATACAATTGCTTGGTGCTTTGCATTCATAGCTACCAAAAGATGACTAAAACAGTTGGAGTTTTCTAATTGCAGAAAAACATTTCTGTCAACATCAGCTTATAGATACATCATTCACACTCTTTCATAAAAGTAATAACTTCCCTTTCACACTTCACTGTGAAATTAAACAGACAGCCTACTTTTTAATCACCTTTTTCAAAAATCATTTTTACACTTGGAAATCAGTCAAATGACAAAGTTTTTTTCTATTCAACTTCGATAAAGGTTATTTTTAAGATAAAAGAGTTAGTTTTGTGCTATCTGATGGATTAAATTTCATTTTTACATTTTTATGCAACATATTTGTGGATTGGGCATAATTGACACAGCAAGGTCACATAAAGGTTAAAAAATGAATCCATAATTATTACTGTTAAATTGCCAAATTAAAGTCAAAACTATTGTATTCTTTGATATTCTTCTTGAAGAAATTCGTTGCTACCAATTCTGAATTAATTTACTTGCTTTAGGTGCAGACTGGATTTAACTGGTCAAGTTATAGAGAGTGAATTAATAGTGTGTGTTACAGTTCAGGTCGTCAAGACACAACTTAATGTCAATAGAGAGAGGTTGGCTTCCTATTGTGTGCATATGATGTATGTCCAGTCTATGAAAATTAGGTCAACCTAGGGAGATAGTAAATTATGGAAATTCATCTGTATATAAAATCTATGGTTGCTACAACTTTTCCAGTATTTTCTTGCAGTATTTCTTAATTTTCTGAGTTGTGGAGAATACCATTTTTTATTATTTATATTAATTTTTTTAATTTTAAAAATTTGTTTATTATATAGGTAAAAATCTGATAAATAATATCTATTTTCTTAGCCATTGAAATTTGGTATCTATTAAAACTGACCAGTTTGCTTTACAAAGATATGAGAAAATAGCACTACCTTATTATTAAATTTATTCTGTTCTGGAATAGAAACATATTGATTTGATAAGCAAGGATCATTAACAGATGTATTTAATTCTAAGATAATAGTAAAATGATCAGATTGAAAACTATGTGCAGGGTTTGGGTTAATTTTATATTTGTTGAAGAAGAATAGATTAAGAAAATATTTTTTCATGTAGGAACATTAATATGTCAATTAGGGTTATGAAAATAATAGATGCTATTAAGAAAGTATTGTTCAGTTGGATAACATTGTTTCCCAGGTGATATTTGATAGGTTGAAATTTCCATACGTTATATATAACCATTTAGGCTTGATTGTAGACAGTTACTATTCAAGCCAGAGAAAATAGAACTACGAGCATAATGGAGCATAAATTGTTATAACAATTAATTGTAGTTTTGAAAGTTTCGTGGCAAGTGTGGAATCTTTATATTTATAGCATGTGCTTTAATAGAATGAGTTAGAATGAATGAACAAAGTGCTGTCACCTCTTTGATTATCTCTAAAAATGGAAATAGTTGAAAAATGATATTTATAAGTTATGTTATTCTTATGATCAACTTATTATTCATTGTTCAACAAATTTGCATTCAATAAACAATGTAATAAAATTATTCTATGTTTATGAATTATGCAATTTAATACATGCTGTTGATGATAATAATAATAATAGCATGTAATTAAATTATTCTGTTTCATTAATAATACATTCTGAAATAAATTATCTTTGCCATAAAAACAGTTACCATCATCAATTTTATTTATATATGTTACATTTATTTCATAGACCCAAGAGGTTACCTCCTAGTTTATCAGAATTCTTGGAACCTGACGATGCTGACATCGACGGACCTCGACCATACATATCAGGACATAATAGGTAAATGTATTTTGTTAAATATTTATTTGTATATATATATATAGACTAGGAACTACAATATTAAATTTTTATTTAATAAAAGTGAATTATCTGATGAAAAATTACCATTTTCTTTTTCTTTTTTTTAAGACTGTATTATCATACGAGGACGTGTCTACCAGTCAGACCACAAGAAATAGATAATGATAGTGAATCTGAGAATGACCCAGAATGGTTAAGAATCAAAACACAACATGTGAGTTTAAATTTTATAATTTTATTATTAAATAGATACACTTGTTTGACTCAAGATATGTATGTGAAGGGTCAACAGCACTCTTCAGGTCAGCTGTGACACCACCTGTGACTTCTGGCTCACACAAACCTTCCAAAACCTTTCAATAAATTCAAAGCAGCCATGTATGAAGGAACTTAAGAGTAAGGGACAGAGGAGGAAGTTGTGAGACAGAATTAATGCACTCTAGACTGATTAACAATTAAATAACAAACATTTATAATGAATAAACTTAGATGAAAATTGCCTAGTGTTCGATTGTTTATACTACAGTATTTAGGAGACAAAAATAACAAACATTTATTTTACTAAATCTTTCCTAAATACAAATAAAAGAAATATGATGATTTTAAGCTATTTTGTGTGCCTATTCTTGACAGAGTGTTTACAAGTAAGCATGTGGCAAAAAATACCTGTATCACTTTGATTTCCAGCAATCCCTAGATGGGGGAGTCTTTATTTTGTCATTGGGATCATGTTCCTTGGTCCAGGTGGAGCTATCCATAGAACTGGGTACAATCTTAGATGGGTTTGCTTTTCCTTTCATACTTGAAGAGTCTTGTTGTAGGGGTCAATCACACAAATTGAATCTGAAGTTTCCATTAATACGAAGTGGCAAAGGTTCGGTAAGGCAGCGGCAGAGTATAGCAGTGGATGATCACCACCTTGATAAATAAATGGACAAACTCTCTCTCCATGTCTCTCCTTGTGTCCTTTTCTCACCTTTCTTTTTAATTGGGTCTCTGGCCCCATCCATTCATATGCCCAAATTTGGTAAACTTCTGCAGGGAGCTGGGTGATGGTCTAATACCCAATTATAGGCAAAGTTTCCTTTGATGAGTAGGTTTTGCCAGAAGATATGTCACTTATAAAGGAAATGTTATCAAAGAGAAAATCTCGCAAACATTCTCTGTTGCATTTGTCATCTTGGGTTTAAATAATTTTTTCTGTTTGAACAAATATTAAATAATTAAATTGCCTAAATTACAAAATTGCTAGCCTGGGTTCTCACATACATATCCTCCAAAAACTGGAGGAATATATATATAAACATATTTTAAATTATTGTATATTTTGTGTAATTTGATTTGGTAATCTCATTCCTTTTGGAATGAAGTTGGCAGCACTAAAAAGAATAGAGAGTTTGATTGAGGACGCAGAAGTGAACAGACGTGTTGTTTTACTGTCTCCAAATTTCTTTTGTCTTGCTCTCTCTACACTTGACCCCACAACTACGACTGCAAATTATACGACATATATTATGTGTGTGTGTATACATACATACATACATACATACATACATACATACATACATACATACATACATACATACATACATAATTGAATACGAACATTTATACCTCGTCTTATCTGAGGAAAATAAGACGAGGTATAAATTTTCGTCAAAGTTTTATTGTTTTAGCATATATCTGTCCTATAAGACGACCCACAAACTATCAACAGCCTATGAATTTAGTTCAGATTAGCGATCATCATCTGAATAATAATACTGTATAGCGTATACAGAATTACGTCCTATTCATAATTTTTCGAATGAACAAATTTTATTTTCTTGCATCTGGCAGCACTGCCTTGCAATTGTTGCAAACATTCTCACTGATTCGGGCATTTGGATAATGATGGCATTGACTATTCACAAAAACGTCTTATGGGCTATTCTATTTTGTGGACATACCCTACTCTCTACTAGTAAATAATTATGGTTTTTCGTTTTTTTTTTTTATAATGGTTTTAATTTATATGATAGTAATAAAGTTTTAAATAGCTATACATGCCAAATATTAATAGAAAAAGATAAGGTATACCACTGTCTGTTACATTATATAAAAATAATTTATCTTGCAAATACTTTTGACAGTATAGAACTGTCCTATTCAGGCAGAATCATTCTTAGAGAACAAAACATTTGAATTCAAGAGAAAGAACCTGAATATCAACTTGTTGTCAATTCTCTCATTTTGAGTTCAAATAACAATTTTCGCTGAGATCCCTGGATCCACCCAACCGGCTACACAAGTTGCCATTATTTAAAAGTTATTTTTTCCATTCCCTGATATTTGTGGCCATTGTCATATTATATAGTTTCTGAAGGGATGTTGTAATGACGCGATAGGTAATGTTGCAAATGCATGTTTTAGCTTGGTCCATTTATGTCCCAAGACAGAATGGGCAAGTGGAAATAAAAATGTTTGGCAACAGAGGGAGCAAACCATTGGCTTAATTACCCAAAGCAGTTGGGTAATTAAGCCAATGGAGTTGATTATTACCGGAACTGAAATTAATTTACATCAATTAAATCTGGGAAAAGACAGATATGGATAGTTTTCTGGCCAGCCAGCACTCTGGAATTTTTGTGGGAATCATACAGATTTAAATGGTAGTTCCGATCCTTTGGGAATTATCTTGGTAACAGGCATGGCAGGCCATGGTAAAGTTTAGGGGAGACTTTGTGGGTAAAATGGGCAATAAACGTATTAAATAAGCAGTAACAAAAGCATTTTTCTTTATTTTATGCATCCAGAACCAGTCTGGACGTGTCTCCACACAAAATATGTGACAGCGATTAGCTGCCTCAAAAGTTTTTGAAGATGTTGTTGTTAAAATAGTATATAATTGGTAATTTTTCAAATAAGAATAGTTGTTAGTGTTTGGTGTCATTTCATTTTTTTGCCACAATATGGTTTAGACAGTTCTGTTTGGCTTAAGTCCTCAAAGAATTGCTAAAGGAGAAAACTCTAGAAATTCTTAACCGGTATGGTTTAGATGGAGAGTAGCCAACTCATAACATGCTTGGCAGAGGGGGCAGGTAACCTATTGTACGGTTTCGTTTCATCACCCATCTTTCTTTATATGTCTTATCCGTTTTTATCCCGATCAAGTGTTTTTCATTTGTAATTGCAACGTATTCTTTAAATATAGTTATTCGAGTGGTAAAGCTGTGGCAGGGATAAACATTTTTAAAGACAAATATTGTTAGTGTGTGGCGAGCAGACTTGAAGAGGTTTAGCCATTCCCACTTTGGACGATGACATCTTATCAAATAGAGGTGGCATGATTCGTTTTTATTTTAGCAGTTTTCTGCAGGAAATGACAATAACGATATTATCTTTTAAAGAAAAATATTTCCATCCATTTAACGCATATCTTTAACGCATCGTGGTATCTTCTAATTATACAAATAGTTTTTAATAACTATTTGTATAATTAGATTTGTACAAATAATTATTTTATTTGTAAATTGCTTGGGACATTATGTATTTTGCCAATATTAATGTGATATTTTTAAAAATAGAAAATAATAATTAATGGAGACGAAAGAAATTCTGTTATTAATTTTCTTAATTTTTTTTAAATAGATGATTGACGAATTTACGGATGTAAATGAAGGAGAGAAAGAATTAATGAAAATGTGGAATCTTCACGTTATGAAATATGGGTAAGATTAGTTTGAACTTTTGAAAAATTTTCATTAATTATTGTGAAATTCTGTTTATTCCCTTTACTAATACTTTTGTTTTATACATATGTGTACAGTCAACCTCTCTATAACACGGTAGATACGTTCCAGTTTTTATGAAATCCATTTTCTATGAGTCCTTAATTACATGAGCCAATCACAGCCCGGCGCGTATGCAGTTTACGAACTACGGCTGTTTGTAAGGTTTTCTTACATAAAATTAATCGATTCTAGACTGATTCGATTCAACATTTCCAAAATACGTATAATTTTTTGGGAATAATTCATATAAACTATGCTATAAACAAAAAATTGTAGGATTACTTACCGAGTGTGCACTGTTTGACGACGCTATTGCTTAAGCTTGTTTTTGTCATGGAGCTTGTCATCGAATGGCACTCGCATACTTCCTGATAAATTATTATTATTTTTTTTTTTTTTTGCGAAAAATTTGCTGAACTTTGGAGACATCATTAATATAAATATAATTTTTATGGATGTTAAGTAATAAATGGTTTTTAGTAGGTCCGCTGCTCGTTTAAACTCAACGGTTTGTGCAATATCTGCTTGATTCGACCAATCCTGTCGCGACACGAGTCGGCGATGACGTTTTACCGAATTATGCTAGTTTTTTTAGCATGTTTGTACGAATACTGTCGCAATTTTTTCGCCGTCATATAGGAATCCTAACTATATGAACCCATGTTATAGGGGTCGACTGTATATATATTGTTTTTAAATTTATTTGAATGTGTATTCCAATGAATTAAAAAAAGTTTTTGTTGTGACAGAAATACTCCAATACAACTAAGTGTATTATCACAAAACACAATGGTAATTGGGAAAATTTCCAGACTAATTTGTTGGCTATATAGGTTGTAATGGAGGGACAGTACAGCAATGGTCAAAAGATGAACCCCCTAAGATTTTTACCTTTTTGGATGGGGATCTGGGAAGGTGGAGAAAGGCAAAGAAATTCGGGAGTTTCTTTCTTTATGTACAGATGTTAGTTTTTCTGTGGGTGCACGATTTTGTTGGACCATTTCAGCTTAAAAACTTCTACGTCTTTTGTGGAAAATTATTGAAATTTTGCAGGGTGGTTGGCGTATTAGGGAATGGATGCAATTAAATTTCGGTGGTGAAAGTACAAGGGATGGTGGGTCATTCCTCCAGCAGATTGAACTTAATGAAGGTTATCAGCATTGGCAATTTTTTTTATAAAATCAGTCTCCACTCAAAAAATTAAGCATTTGCCATTTTATAATAATTAATAATATAAAATGTGTCTGATAAGGAAATCACATAATGGAGGCATGACTGGCAATTTAAGCTTTTTTGCCAAGAAAGTTAAACGAAGAATGGCCGGGTATTTAATTTGTTTAAAAATTATAGTTATTAATACGGAGGATGTTTTTGGTCATTTTTCAGCCAATTGGCAGCCTTTTTAGTGAAAAAAATAGCCAACGCTTCTAGTTACTACCACTCAGGCAACATTTTATAAGCATTTTGAATTTCATAATGTATAAAGAATGTTGGAATATTCTTTCTTGGCAGTAAGGCATGGATATCTGAACTCTTTCTAAACTCCTGGTGCAAACCGTTGGAGGACGGCACTAGAAATTTACAAAGGTGCAGTCGTCTTTCATTTGGGACAGAGTCGAACCACAGTTTGGGCATCATTAAGAAAAGGCCAAAATAATAGTTGAGGTTGCCAGCCAATTCCCAGTCTGGTCTGACTTTCCCCAGTCCAAAAAAGAAATCAATGAGCTCATGCTGTAGCCATATTCATTTGGGATGGCGTGTGAAACGACGGAACGGTGGCCTTTAGTCACTACCAATTACCTCGTGTGCCGCAAACGTCTCTGTTGCCCCTTTCAAGTTTACATCTTAACACTTAAAAAGTAGACTTAACCAAAAACGCAAATCTTAATCCCACGTAAAAAATTGGCTGCCACTTGCCTAATTTTCTCAGCAAAAGCTCATCTTAACTCTTAACTCTAACAATGTAAAAGAGTAACCACTTGGCTATCACCACTTAAAAGTGTGAAACTTCTAAAGACTTATAAGGCTAAACAGTCAATTTTTAGAGGCCTAATTTTTGTAAACTACTGAGAAGTGGATCCCATTATTTGGACAAGGAGCTGTTTGTGTTAAGACTATATGCTCACTAAATTTTGTTCGAATCGGCCATCCGAAGTTCTGGACCTCTTCTTGTAAACGACAGCTTAACATGTTACTTTTGCTTTCCAGACACCAAACTTATAAGGCACCTGGGAACAGAATAATAGGAAATACTGGTGTATTTCCTATTATTCTGTTCCATAATCTGTTTTATCTATTATAGTTTGTTTAGTACGTTCATATAGTGGACACACACTGTCTCTTGCATCGTGATTGAACTTAGCAGCTCCTTCCTTCTTACAATTATGAAGCATGGGGTTTATATTTCTTTTCGGGCAGTCCTTTAGTTCACGGTCCTGGGTGCAGTGGCTACAGTAGCTTCCGTCCTGTTTACAATCCTCGTGGAATGCCCGAACCTCGAACATCGGAAGCACTACAATATAGGGGAAAAATCCTGGGCCCTACACCGTAACCGTTCGGTATTCGGCTTCAGTCTTCCTTGCTGGAGGATACATTTTCGTAGACTCGAGACGTCAAATATCCAATTGGAGAGTTTCTTATTCTTTTTCCTCAATGGAAATTTGATAATAAATTCCTTATTAAAAGTTTCTCTGTAAAGTTTTGGATAATATTCCCATTTTGTTGGTAGATTTATGCTTTTGTTTTCTCTTTGCCGACGTTTGTTGGGACTAAGATCGGTATTAACGCCACAGCTTTTGTCCAGAGCCGAGGAAAAAAGTCGGAAGTCGACTGCTTTGTGCCGCGGCCCAAGTTCCGCCGTCGTTAGTGCGTGGGACGTGTTAGCGCCGCAGAATCCACCCAGCACTCCAACGAGCCGTCCGTCGGAAAACGGTTTACCGTTTCCGGCCATTTTGTGGGTACCACGTAACTTGCCCGGGCAGTCGCATCCCCGGACGGGGAAAATTTGGTAAAAGATCCTTCTGGGATTTGCTGTGTAGTTAGCCAAGCTCTTCGTCGGAGGAGTTGTATTGTTCTGCACGGTTTGGTGGCCTAGTGGCCATTTCAATTGTCCTCGAACGCCGCTTTTCCTTCGACTTCCGTAAATAAACACTATGACGTCCGCGCCCGGTTAAAAATGTGGCATTGGCTATCCATCTTGCTTTTTTTCGCACGAGCCGACATTTGGAGTGGGTGTCGGCCCGCGCACGCGTTCGTCCGTACGTAAATAAAAGTCGGGCGTCCCTGGCAGAACTAGTTTCCATTTACATTTGTCATTGGCCAGTGACCGGACGGGAAGGGTCGAGGATCCAGTCTAGAATAAAAGAAGACGATAGGCTAAACACGTAGGCGTAAAATAAGTTCGATACACTAGTAAATTAAGCCGGGCGGGCGTACGGAAAGACGACCTCTCGACGTTTCCCAGACCGAAAAGGTAAATATCCGGGGGTGGTTTTTGGCAGCCGCGGCCTTTTTTCCCTGCGTTACGAGTAAGGGCGGAGAAATTAGAAGTGTCTTTTGTTGGGTGACGATTCTTTTAGAAAAATGGTAAGGGGAGCGGGTAATAATTTGAGCCGGGTAATGTAAAGGAGTAAGGATTGTGTGTTTTGCAGGTTCGTGGGCGACTGCCAGATTCCCATAGCCTGCACCATGTTCGTGGAGGAGCACGGAAGAGAGCTGCTAAAGAAGAACCTGTACAAAAACTTCTCGCTGCACCTGAGCAACATGTTCGACTTCGGTCTGATCAGTGCCTCCACCGTCTACACCACCATGCGCCGGCTACAGAAGTTCGTCGGCGGCATCGACGGAAAACACCCGCAACCGCGGTCTTCGTAACACGAGCTTAGCCTTTTCACTGTACATACGCCCGCCGCGCCTATTTTTATCGCCGGTGGGTCGGGCGCCCGCCGCCACCGCAAACGCCCCGCCCCCGCGGGTGGAGTGCCAATTTAAGGCGGGGCGGATGGAAGGAGGCGCCGCCCGGGATTTTAACCCCCCGTCGGTGGCCCCGTATTTATTTCCCCCGCCCGCGGCCGGAGGGAAGGGGCCGGGGAGACCGTTTTCCACCGACGGGCGGGAAGAAGATTTATTTATTGAGGGCGGGGCGGGGCCAACTTTCGGAGTAATTTTAAAAAGAGGAATCGACCGGGCCGGCCGCCGTCCACCCCGGCCGCGTTTTTAGTCGGGTGGACGGCCGGTCCGGTCCGGGACGGCTAACCGTTCGACTGCCGCCGGTATTTTTTGTCAACCGCGCACTCGGAGGACGAAACTGCCACAAAATTGTCTCTCCGCTCGGCTTCCGCGCCCAACGCCGACTGCGCGAGTCCTTCCTTTCCTTTTGTAATTATTTATTTATTAACGGCCGACTTTCCCGCCGTTTTCGGGACGATCTTCGGTTTTTTTTTCGTTCGTCTTTCGAAAACGGCTGGATTTTTCCCGGGAAACGACGGAACGCCACCTGCCGTCGAAGGCAAATCCCGCCCGAGAATCGGCCGTGGGTCGGGAAGACCCCCGGCGGAGCCCGACCGAAAACCATTAATTAAAACTTACCCAACGTCACTCTCCGCTCTTCGGCGGGTAGAAACCCCGGCCGAGTTGTTTTATTCGCCCCGCGCGTGTATTATTTACGGTTCAGACATTCCTCGGTAGGCAATCAAATTTTATACGGGGGACGTAGTTTATCGTCCGCGTTAAATGCCTTTTTTTAATTTACTGTAAAAAATATATATATATTTTTCTTTTCGTGTAGAAACGTTCTGGCCTAGGGCTTTGTCGTTGTTTCGTACGCAATTTTATCGGTCGGACTCCGTCGTCCCTGTGACGATATTACGTGTGGGAGGTGCGCTATTAACTAACTGCCTTTGGTTTATTGTAAATCCGGCAAATTTTTTTTCTTTTTGCAATTTATCTTGGGGAAGAAAAATATTCGTCGCCTTCGGTTGGTGCGGAGTGCCTGCCGGAACCGGTCGTTTTCTGACTTTTACGTCTGTTTGTTTTTCCACCGGTTCGTATTTATACGGACTCCGTTCGTTCCCAAACCAAATCTTTTCTAAGAGGAATTCTACCAAACCGGAATAAAGTTCTTTGCAATTTTCCATCGTAAAGCAAAAAATACATGTGATAATTATTGATTTTATTATTATTATTATTATTATTATTATTATTGTGTTTATAATCTAGCATGGAGTTTGCTCACACACACACACATACACACACTGTTTTTTGTATTTTTATATTTACGGAACAAATTGTAGTTCGACGGACTTGGTTGGTTTAAAAAGTTTTTGTGCGTGGGTGCGTAACCTTTAATCTACTTATTGCGTCGGGTGGAAGGTGGACTTTTTCGGTGTCTCCGGTTTCGGACCGGGTGGCCGGTGAGCGTACGGTTTTTATTACTTCCATTTACACCCATCGATGAGTTCTCCGTCGTCGGTTTTTTGGCTAATTGTACCGTTCACTGCCATTTATATACGTCGTCGTAGATTCGGAGTGCCAAATTAAACGAACGGCCAAACGCATTCGGAAATCTTTCCGAATGTACGGAACTTATCGTAGAAACTCGCACGGATTCTGTTGCCTTTGCCCGAAGAAGGAAAAGAGGAAACCTTTAAGTTCTCGGCAATTCGCTTCCGGTTTCGTTGGGAAATAACGCGGCCCGGCCGCCAAACAGGTAAAATATGCGTGTTTTAATATAGCAAAAGTTACTCTAAGTGTTTAGCCGTAATAATAGTTTATCGGTGGGTCGAATCCACCGCAAGTTCTCGTCCCGTGCCGGAATTGATTATTTTCTTTATTTTCCGAGACGAATTTGGGTTACGGCGAGAGAAACGGGAGATAACATTTCACCCTTTGTCATTTATTTCCAAATTGTGTTTTTTCTCTCATTATGTAATATATGTTCTGTCCGACCCTATTTTTACTGTACATAAATGTATTGGCATAAAATATATTATAAGTAATTGGCTCTTAACTTTGTCCACCGTCGACGCGTTAATTAATTGTAATTTATTTAAATTGACGCGAAATTACCGGTCGGAGCCGAAAAAGTAATACGATTGGGACAAAATGTTTCTTTGCAAATAACCGCAATCTCTAATAAAAATGGTGGGTGGCTCCATTTTAAGATTGACCATTCGGTTTACTGTTGTTAAATTTTAAACGACGGCTCCTGGGTCATTCGGTCAGCGCGGGTGGGAGCGTCCGACGCTATTTGGGGTCCTTGGGGGGAAAACGTCGACGTGAAGATTGTCGTGGCGCTGATTTCGGGTTCCTTCCGTTCGGTAAAACGCGTGGGATGTCAGGGGTCTTCGAAGAATCGGCGCTCACCTCAGAAACCTCTCGATTCGAGAATTCCCTCCAAAGCCTTATCACCACTGATTACAACGGTTGATGGTGCCCATCGCTCTACCCGTGGCCACCGTTAACAGTCGATTGCCCAGAATACCCCAAATTACGACCTCTGGCATACGGAGATGTCGAACGTTAACCGAGAGAAGTCGCAATATACTGTACGTCTTCAAACTTCGATTCTCCCTGGTCTAACGATAAAAGAAACCGATTTGTTACCGGGTGCGCTTTTAAGAATACCGATAACAACAGACAGTAACCGAACTTTTCTACTACCGGCCCGACGTCAAACACGGCGTACGTACCGCTGCAAATCCCATTAACTGGCCCTGACTCCTATTCTTTCCGAACGTTAGAAGACGACGTACAGTACCGAACAAAACCGCCCTAAAACACTGGCAACGCTCATCTCGACAACGTAAAAAGTATCTCTCGGCCCCATAGGTTACGCCGCTGCCGGTCTCCTATCAAAATAGATGCGATTCCTGCTTAAAGAAGTTGGACTATCGATTAGGGATTTCACCATGTTTTACATCGGCGCGGTGTTCAATTTCACAAAACTAGCGGGACCTAAAGTAAAAAATAAAATTACTACTTTGTGAAGCAAAATATTTCTTATAGAAACGGAAACATTAGTACGGCTGGCAACGTAATTACCTTCTTTTGGAAGTTACCCGTGACTCGACGAAAAAGTGTGTTATCTGCCTACCCGAGTGCACGATTGAACCTTTCGCATGTACCGTACCTGTCGGTACGCCGACTTTGAAAGCCGATCCTCGTATTTGTTTTCAGCTTTGTGTCGTAGTCTGTTTCTAAATAACGCTTCCGCATCGCGGATCACTGTCGTAGAATTCAATATTCAACAAAAGATTTGGTTTCGGACTCCGTATTTCTGGTAACTTAAAGCCCGATCCTTCTGCTAATAAAAAGTGAAAAAAGTTTTAGCCAAAAATTGGCCTCTACTGCAGAATTATAATTTTCACGAGAGGAACTTTTCGACATTGGTTCGCAAGTAGCCAACGTGAAAGATTGGAGGCCGTGTACGCTTTCGTTCTACAAAAATGTAACGTCTCTTCATTGCCGGATGCGGCTGAGAAAAGTGCAGAGAAAGCAATAAGTAATTATTGTTTCCAAATTAAAGATGGAAGAAATGCAGACGGTATCGCGAGCAATTTCTAGTGGTAAATTCCTCGTGTCTTAGACAATTCTCGACGGTGCCTAATGTAGTGATGAAGGCTTTACCTGGTACTCCGCGTGGAAGACCTCCAAAGGTATTTCAAGACTGCTGTCCGAAGACCAAGAAACGAAAGGTAAAACATTTAATTGAAGACAGGAATAACGAAGAGTTAGCGACTGCAACAGAAATTCGTCTACGCCGCGCTGGAGGAAGGGACTCTGCTGCTATTGTCAAAAGAGCTGTCTCGCGGGGTATTACGATAAAGAAGAGTGGAAAATTTTTGTCCCGCGCAACGATGCCCGTATGCCTGTCTACAAATCGAATTCTCGCAATGATTGTTGGCGCAAATCTTTCCACCCGCCCATACACAATCGTACACAAGCCCCAGAATTTAGATGTAAGGTTGAAGAAAGGAAAAAGCAAATACAATACAAGCTGTGCGAGGAATTATGGCTTTTGGTAGATTTAACGAAATAGATATCAGGAAATATAAACGATGGAAATATAGCTCGCAAATTTTTCCGAAATGCCAAAACATCCGCCGAAATTACTCGCATTAATGCGCAGCTCACAAAATTATTTTATTTCCATTGTATTTTAGAATGTCTAGCTTATGCCTTTGCCATAAATGCGGATAAATTTGATGCATACATGAGGAAATTTGATTATATCCGAGGGTATAACTGGTACGCCGATGCCAGTAAGCGTACATAAAATTTTATTCCACGGAAAGGACAAAATTGCAGCTTCACTTCTTCCAACTGACCAATTTTCCGAAGTTCTGGAGACCAAAAATAAACACAACAGAACATATGGAATTGTTTACGAGGAAAACATCCAGAGTGGGAAACATAAACTCCATATGATGTCCATGACAAAGACAAAAGGGAAACATCCTTTCCTCCGTCTTCCTTTATTTTTCTTTTCCATAGTTTTAATTTTTTTTATAAGAGCCGAAGTTTTCTCAATCGACTTTAAAAAGGTGCGTGTCGTTTCTCTACAGGGAGAGATTCAGAGCATTCAGCTTTTCAAAAGTATCACATAAGTATGCTAGTTTTATCAAAAAAATCTTCAATCAAAATTTTCGGCATACTTGTGGTCTTCCTCTTTAAGAATAATATAAATTTCCTGTCGCAGTTCAAACGTACGAGAGAAAACATTACCTCGGAGAGCCATCGCTCGCTCGTGGTAATGTTTTATACTCTCGGCTGCTGTAGTACAACAAAGACGTGTACTCGGATCCCACATCTTCACACAGTTTTTTGAAAAATCTTACCTTCAACGGCCGGGTTTTTATAAAGTTTACTACATATTCTAAGTCTTGATTCAATGTAGGACGCAGATATTTTGATGCGAGTACTTCCCTGTGAATAGCGCAATGGGTCCTCAGTGCATCGGTCTTTGCTTCGAAAAACTGCCTGCAATCCTCCATAACATCCTGGAAGAACGAACATTATCAGTAAAGATCAGTGGCGTGCTGTCATTAGAAGTGATGGATGCGCCGCTCCCCATGTATTTTCTAAAAGATAAATACATATTCGACTTATTTCTACTTAAGAAGTAGTTAAATAATTAAGCGATTAGAAAATTGGAGACATAAACAAAACCCTGATGAAAGAGCCGAAATTTTACTTAAACAAAAGCCTAACCGAACCAATCTCTAGCCTACAGTGGTACTGATTTCTTCGAAATATTAGATGTAATAAAAGACAGACATTTTTCCATTTCAACGAGAGTGACCGAAAAGTTGTAAATTTTGGAGATTTCCGTGGACAATACCTGGTGCTAAAACGAATTAGAAAACAAACGACGGACAATCTATTAAGTTTAACATACTGAGATTACAGCTATGGTGAAAAACGTTTAAAATTTACAAGAACCCTGTCGCGTCTATTGAGATATACTAGTGATGCGAATAAACAGGCATTTGACATTGACCGGTATGGGCACCGTCGGGATTTGGCAGCCCGCGTGCATGTACAGAAAACTATCATAAAATCATACAGGTAAATTCTTATCGGTTGGGTTAAGTTATAAATCTACTCGTGATTCATGTAATCGGGCGAGGGCAGCCAAATATCTAGCGGGCGGGCGGCTAACAGCCCGGAACCGGTCCCGGATAGAATTGGATGCGTTATACGTGTAGCAGCCACCCGAGGTCCTAGGCTTCCACCGGATAAACCGGGTGAGGTTGATGCTGTGTAAAGCGCACACGCGAATCTGGTTTTTTGGATTCTGACAATACAGAGTTTCCACTCCGCTATTCCGCCACTAATATTCGAATATACAATAGAAATTCTTATCCTTTTTTTCGCGTGTAGTATAGAAATTTGTAATAAGATACATAATGCGGTTATAATAAAATATTGTACGATTATTTTCATGTAATTAAAATTAATATGTATTTATTTTTTAGAAAATACGAGGGAAGCGGCGAATCCATCGCTTCTAATGACGGCACGCCACTGGACTTCAATACAATTTCTTTAAAAACCCCAAATTGCGTTTATTAAAATATCAATAACGAAAATATACAAATGACGTATTGCTTAACATTATTACAAAGAAATAATGAAAAACGTTTTCATTGTTAGAATGCGTTCTCTTCTCAGCGATTTTTCTTTCGCCATGTATCGAATTATAATATTTTCGTTATTATTTAAAGAAATTCTGACTATTGCAATAACCAGTGGTAGATGGACGAAACGTGATCCGTCGATGTATCGTAGAAGCGAAAACAATGGATTTGCTACCATCGATACCGAACAGGATCCACACGGATATGGACAATTTCCCAATATACGCCCTATCAATGACAAATATAGAAGATTTCCTCTTGAAAGACTTAAACAGAAATCACATCTTCAAGCAAAGGAAGTGAATTTAAATCCATTTTTGTATAAGCTCAAGGAGGCATCTACACTTCATTCAGGATTTGAATATAATCCTAATTATCCTAAGATAATGAAGAAACAAAGACATTCGATCAAGTCAGAGAGGGATAAGATAATGCCTTCTAATGTCCTTTTTCGCAAAGTAATCACTGCCTCGTACGAACGACCAATGCCACGATTAAGTTCTACGGTGAGTTGGCTCGAATCTAAATTAACAGAATTAAGGGATGAAAAGATGAAAGAATTACATTTCATTTTGACACAACAATTCGTCGCTTCAGAGCCAGCTACGAACAATCCAGAAACCGTATCCATCGACGAACAAATAAAATGGCGATATTTAACATTAACAATGTCGCTGTCGATTTTGTTTTTTATAACAACGATCACCTTTTGTGGCATGTTGATTCAACGACATTGCTACAATGAATCCAATCAGAAAATACGTCGAACTGTCGGACAGAGACAAGACAAAGTGAAAAAAAGGAAACCGGATAAGACACTCTCACCCGAACCTGAGCAACAACCTCTATTAGAACCAGACGAAGTTGAGGAAAACACTCGACCTTCGTCCATTTCTTCGACAATTGATATGAAATATTCATTCGACAAATTCCTGAGATCGGTCGAACGTTTATACGAAGACGAAATAAAACAACTCGAAACGACTTTAACAAGTGTTGAACAGATCTGAACTATTTGTTCATTTATGTGACAGAATTTGCGTTATTTTTCTATATTTTAATACTCATTTAGTTTGTTGTTTAAATGATAAATAAAGAAATAAAAACGGTCTATAAACCAAAAATTTATCTAAACCATGTACTACATTATATTGCTATTGATATATCAGTTATATTGTGATGATATCAAGAAGAAAAAAAAAAGCTGATGGCAAGCTGAACAATGTAATAATGTGTGTCAGTCTTAAATCTAGAGTATTAGATTTAGTGGATCTGTACATAAATTTTTCATTTTCAATGAGAAAAAAATAGATATATTAGAAGGTGTGTATGTAGTACACAGGATCTGTTGTCTGTAGAATCAGAGAGAGAAAATTTTTTGGCACAGATACTATTTCCGCGTACAACACATTTTATGTTATTTTTCGACATTGTTTATCAAATCATTTGTAAATCAATTAAGAATGAACAATTAAAAAAGTAACAAACTCCATGCTAACAGAATTTTTCAAGTAATTGTAGCCAAAGGGGGTAAAACCAAATATTAAGTGTTTAAAATATATTTAGAATTTATTTTTATATAATTTTAGAAAGTGTACCTATACTTTGGTAACAGGTAAAAAGTGATAACTTATATTATTATTAAAAGAAAAAAAAGCTTAAAATGATATTTTTGTAATAGTCTTAAAACATATAAAACTGTTTTCTAATAAAAAATTTAAATAAATTTTGAAAAATCACAAAATTTGTGTTCTTATACTTTTGTAACAGACTGTATATCTGGGAGGCAAGATGGCATTCACATACCTTGTCATAATACTGTAGAAGTAAAGTTGTTCTTTCCCGGCAGCTTCTACCGTCGACGGTGTAATATGCCCATAAATTTTCCGATATAGTTTTCCAAGCACTTTTCGGATTTTCATACGCATACGGATTTACAGCAACTACTTCTCTCAACAGGAGTATATCATGATTACAGGAAAAACGCATTGGAACTTTCCTATTGTTTGTAACGCAAGGAAACACGACGCTAATTATAGTAAAAAAAATAATTATTTAGTGTTATAACATCCTATAAATACTTTAAAATAGCTTAATTTGTTTATTTACCTTCGCTCGGGAAATTCGTTGTCAAACGGTTCTGCCATTTTTTTCAACAAATTTCCCGTGGGTCAATGCGCGACGTTCATTGAGTCACGTGATGTTGTAAACGTCCGCCGCAACGATTTTTCTTGCAGTTAAAACGTAAACCGTGTACTTCTACTTGCCGTCTAGAAGTAACGTTTGAACGTCGGCCGCAACCTCTCTATTGTCCACGGAAATTTCCAAAATTTACAACTTTTCGGTCACTCTCGTTGAACTGGAAAAATGTCTGTCTTTATTACATCTAATATTTCGAAGAAATCAGTACTACTGTAGGCTAGAGATTGGTTCGGTTAGGCTTTTGTTTAAGTAAAATTTCGGCTCTTTCATCAGGGTTTTGTTTATGTCCCCAATTACCTAATCGCTTAATTATTTAACTACTTCTTAAGTAGAAATAAGTCGAATATGTGTTTATTTTTTAGAAAATACAAGGGGAGCGGCGCATCCATCGCTTCTAATGACGGCACGCCACTGGTATGTATCATGAATGAATCGTAACGTTTAATTTTACAAAAATATATACAGTTGTCCCTTAATAATCCGACAGGTACGGGACCAAAGGGGTGACGAATTACCAAAAGTGTCCGGATTACCGAAAGTGATTATATATTTGACATTGTTTTGCTAGCTGTAGCCTACAATATTCCCTACTCCAACTGTTCGAACAGAACTGCTCATGGAAAACACATGAAATGTGTGTCATCAGGAAAGAATTTGGTGGGGTGATTCACGTCGCGACATGCTTCTGTGCAAACAGACACGTAACGGAGACGGGACCTTGATGGGAGGTGCGTCGGACTACTGAGCATATCAGATTACAAAACGTCGGACTATCAAGGGACAACTGTATTTTATTATCTGAAATTCGTCAGTTTTAAGTTAATGTATACCATATTCAATACATTTTAAATATAATTTAAACAATATTCAGAGATATTCAAAGAGAATATTCTAGAAAAGTTTCTTCTTCTTTGATTTACTCTTTATTACACTTTATTTCGTTTAAATATATTTCTTATTTATCAATATTTTAATTCCATAAAGTCTATATTATACTTACATTCGTGTAAATATTCAAAATTTATATTTAAAATTCGAAAAATTAAAGACATCGTCTGCAATTTAGTTCTAATATTGGTCACTAGAGGCGACATAAAATATATATAATGCAAATTCAATTTTCATAAAACATTTTTTAAAAATATAATAATGTCGGAATTAGTATTTGATATAAATCTAAAAATAAAAAAAATTCAATGAATTAAAAATACCTGTTTACGTCTACTATGCCTTAATTAAGCGGCCGGTGGCAGCCTACCGCTCTGGGGGACCCGGGCTCGAATCCGAACGGGTCGAATAATCCCCAGGAATTTTTCGGGGATGGTCCGTTCGGATATATCGGGCCCCGTTCCTCACCATCCGGCAGCCCCATTGTGGGCCTGGCTGAACCCATAATGGGCTTGCAAAGAGAGACCCTCTTAGTGCCCACAGGGCGGAGTTTAAAAAAAAACTATGCCTTAATTAAATGGCCGCGCGACAAACTCTCTTTTGACGATCCGTCTCGTCCCTACAATCATTCCAGCAATCAAAACCTTCTAACTACCGATGTTCCTACTATCGAATGATTGCTGCCCATCGATAGAAAATTGTCGAATGATTTGTATAAATGATAATACAGTATCACGATAGTGTAGTGAGTTTTTTTTTAAACTCTTTCCGTCCTGTGGGCAGTAAGAGGACCTCTTTTTAGTAAGCCCATTATGGGTTCGTCCAGGCCCACAATGGGGCGGCCGGGTGGTGAGGGACGTGGGTCGACGTATCCCATCGGAACACCCCCGAAAAATTCCTGGGGATTTTCCGACCCGTCCGGAATCGATCCCGGGTACTCCAGAGCGGAATGTTATCACCTTGAACGATCGGTCATCCGGCCATAAATAGTTCAGTGACTATTAAACGAAGCGATCGGTAAATATTGCCAATTTTCTTCCAGATTTGTTCGAATATGGCTGATAAAACCTGCAATAACCAAAAATCTAGCCAAGATTGAAAAACACAGAAAAATTTTAATCTATTTTAGCTAAAACTGTCACGTAATCAATATTGAAGGGTTTAAAAAATGTCCTTGAATATGAAAAATTTACACACCAAAAATAACTCAACGAAGAACTGAAGAATTTTTAAGACTTTATAGCACTAAACATTTAAAAAATTTTCAAATGCCGGGTTTTATAACTGGCTTGTGTTCTACTTTAAAAACTAAATAAAATTTAATTTTGAGTATTTTTGTTATTTTAAATTGCAAATCATTTATGGTACTGGATGCAATAGGCCTATACCTGTCTTACATTTTTATTATATCTGTCTTCGACGTGTAATTGTGCATCTTTATCTATACTAATATTATTAAGAGGTAATGTTTGTAAGTATGTATGTAAGTTTGTTTGCAGCAGGTAATCTCCGAAACTACTCATCCGATTTCAAAAATTCTTTTACCAATATTTAGAATGGAACCTCGGGGTGGACATAGGCTGTATATTATTCCGTTAAACATTCATATAAATTAAAATATATAATCTAGGTTAAGGCTTTTATGTCCAATAGATGGCGCTAAGAGTACGACGCCCTAAGTTTGCTTTTCTGTGAGGCATTACGCTTTTCTGTGAAAATGAACTAAAGCAGATCATCTTCTATGTATCTATATAAATAAAAATGTAATGTTCGTTTGTTCCTACCGATTCCTTTGAAATTTTGACACAACGCTGCATTCGAATACGCACGTGTTTTTATATAATATACGTGTCGAAATTCCCCCCACTGAAGAGAGATGGTTAGGATTAAGGCTTACCGTAAAGAACTCTGCTTCTATTTATACTATTTTAGATTCGGTTTTTTGCGTTTTTGATTGCGTTTTAATAGGGTACATCAACAGAATGTACACTAAGAAGGGATTTTTCGATATTCCCTCGCGGGGGAGAGAGACAGAATTAAGGCTTACCGTGAAGAACTTGGCTTCTATTATATTATTTTAGATGCGAGTTTTTGAGTTTTAATAGGGTACGTCAAGAGAATGTACACTAAAAAGAAATTTTTCGAAAAATTTCCCCCCACGGGAGAAGTGTTATACATTTATAATAGATACATTTTGAGCCACAACAACGCGTGGCGGGGTCTGCTAGTTTTCAAATACTGTATTATTGTTTATTGGTTGTCGAAAAATAACATAAAATGTGTTGTACGCGGAAATAGTATCTGTGCTAAGAGTCTGTGCCAAAAAATTTTCTCTCTCTGATTCTACAGACAACAGATTTTGTGTACTACATACACACCTTCTAATATATCTATTTTTTTCTCATTGAAAATGAAAAATTTATGTACAGATCCACTAAATCTAATACTCTAGATTTAAGACTGACACACATTATTACATTGTTCAGCTTGCCATCAGCTTTTTTTTTTCTTCTTGATATCATCACAATATAACTGATATATCAATAGCAATATAATGTAGTACATGGTTTAGATAAATTTTTGGTTTATAGACCGTTTTTATTTCTTTATTTATCATTTAAACAACAAACTAAATGAGTATTAAAATATAGAAAAATAACGCAAATTCTGTCACATAAATGAACAAATAGTTCAGATCTGTTCAACACTTGTTAAAGTCGTTTCGAGTTGTTTTATTTCGTCTTCGTATAAACGTTCGACCGATCTCAGGAATTTGTCGAATGAATATTTCATATCAATTGTCGAAGAAATGGACGAAGGTCGAGTGTTTTCCTCAACTTCGTCTGGTTCTAATAGAGGTTGTTGCTCAGGTTCGGGTGAGAGTGTCTTATCCGGTTTCCTTTTTTTCACTTTGTCTTGTCTCTGTCCGACAGTTCGACGTATTTTCTGATTGGATTCATTGTAGCAATGTCGTTGAATCAACATGCCACAAAAGGTGATCGTTGTTATAAAAAACAAAATCGACAGCGACATTGTTAATGTTAAATATCGCCATTTTATTTGTTCGTCGATGGATACGGTTTCTGGATTGTTCGTAGCTGGCTCTGAAGCGACGAATTGTTGTGTCAAAATGAAATGTAATTCTTTCATCTTTTCATCCCTTAATTCTGTTAATTTAGATTCGAGCCAACTCACCGTAGAACTTAATCGTGGCATTGGTCGTTCGTACGAGGCAGTGATTACTTTGCGAAAAAGGACATTAGAAGGCATTATCTTATCCCTCTCTGACTTGATCGAATGTCTTTGTTTCTTCATTATCTTAGGATAATTAGGATTATATTCAAATCCTGAATGAAGTGTAGATGCCTCCTTGAGCTTATACAAAAATGGATTTAAATTCACTTCCTTTGCTTGAAGATGTGATTTCTGTTTAAGTCTTTCAAGAGGAAATCTTCTATATTTGTCATTGATAGGGCGTATATTGGGAAATTGTCCATATCCGTGTGGATCCTGTTCGGTATCGATGGTAGCAAATCCATTGTTTTCGCTTCTACGATACATCGACGGATCACGTTTCGTCCATCTACCACTGGTTATTGCAATAGTCAGAATTTCTTTAAATAATAACGAAAATATTATAATTCGATACATGGCGAAAGAAAAATCGCTGAGAAGAGAACGCATTCTAACAATGAAAACGTTTTTCATTATTTCTTTGTAATAATGTTAAGCAATACGTCATTTGTATATTTTCGTTATTGATATTTTAATAAACGCTATTTGGGGTTTTTAAAGAAATTGTATTGAAGTCCAGTGGCGTGCCGTCATTAGAAGCGATGGATTCGCCGCTTCCCTCGTATTTTCTAAAAAATAAATACATATTAATTTTAATTATGTGAAAATAATCGCACAATATTTTATTATAACCGCATTATGTATCTTATTACAAATTTCTATACTACACGCGAAAAAAAGGATAAGAATTTCTATTGTATATTCGAATATTAGTGGCGGAATAGCGGAGTGGAAACTCTGTATTGTCAGCATCCAAAAAGCCAGATTCGCGTGTGCGCTTTACACAGCATCAACCTCACCCGGTTTATCCGGTGGAAGCCTAGGACCTCGGGTGGCTGCTACACGTATAACGCATCCAATTCTATCCGGGACCGGTTCCGGGCTGTTAGCCGCCCGCCCGCTAGATATTTGGCCGTCCTCACCCGATTATATGAATCGCGAGTAGATTTATAACTTAACAATATCCAAGAACCAGAAATACGACGACAGGACAACATACAAGAAACAACACCTGAATACTAGTTACAACATTATTTTACTACATATGTCCCAGAATAAAACAAATTTTGTTATCTCTATAATAAGTTTACCTGGACCAAATTTTGTACCAAAATCAAGAAAAGGGTAGTTGCTAGTACTCTTAGTAACGTTTTGTAAAATTTAAATATCTACATCAGGGGTCGGCAAACTTTTTTAACCGTCGACCCCTAACAACTTTCCAAAACCTCACATTGACCCCCACCGTAATGTTTTATTACAAGTACAAGTGTATGAGCAAAAGAAAAGAAAAAAAACCTTCGTGATTTTTAGTTTCAATTTTTCCATCGACCCTCCAATCGACCCCCTAGCCGCATCGACCTCCCAATAATGTTATATCGATCCCTGATCTACATGAACAATAAAGATCTTATCTCAAACAAACGGCTACTTTTTCTCTAGGCGATAAAGACACCTTGAACTTTGTGTCTTGCTTAGTTATCATTTGTTTAATTTTAGTTAAAATGGTCTCGAACTCATATTTACTCATCCTAAAATATTTCAAAAATCTGTCCTCATCGTCTACAATCTCCTTGAATAATGTGTAGAATTCTTCTTTTTTTCGTTTTACATTCATGGGATGAACAGCAAACTTTTTTTTAGTTGCTTTTCTACACAACCCGATTCTTCTTCTTCTTCTTCTTCTTCTTCTTCTAGTAAAATTGCCATCATGGCTAGTTCTATCGAAAATTTCCGGAACATGGTACGCGCGTGCACTCCCTACTATGCCTGAAGGCATCTGTGCATGCTGGGTTGTAGATGTGAAAACTATTCAGTGCCGTGTCTGCCACGTTACGTGCCTATAAATATGAATGAAGCCTAAGATTCCGTAGGCGATAATTTCGCCTCGGCCACGGTATATCATTCGTCCTATTGATTTCGTCTACTAAAATACGGTAGTGTCTTGCATCCCGACATCGGCCGTATAAAAACGTACACGGCATTAATTCTGTAATTTTCGTAAATAAGTTTTCAAATTAAACTTTATTAATTCTTCCGAACACGTGGATATATACAGGAGCAAAGACGTTTTCCATCCGTGGCACTAACAAGTAAGTGGGTCGGACCGCCGCGTAAGTAGGACGTTTTTAATTAAACGCCATCTGCCGGTAAAAGCCGAAATTAGAATGGGCGATGGCTCCAGGAAAACAGAGGAGAGGGCGCTTTAGCACGCGCGGAAGGCGGGACCCGGCGTTCGTATGTCGTCCTTATAGTTCATACGGAGAGGCCGAGCGGTTATGGTCGACGTATGTATCGGGTGGAGGAAAAGGCCACGTCGGCACATATTTATTTAACTCGGTTGGTTATTGATATCTTCCTCGGGTCCGGCGCGAGTTTTGTCGACCGGACGGCGGATTTCCCAGAAAAAAAGCACACGTGCAAAGATAGGGTCGAGCGTAAAGATAACGACTCCGAAGTTCGGTTATATTATGTAGATTGGATAAGGCCGCGTTAAATTTACCGGATATTAAAAATTCAAAGCCGACTCCTTCCCGTAGACCAAAGCGCGAAATCGTTTCTTCTCCGCCATAAATAGATCGTAGGAATTTCCGCTCCTTCCGGAAAAGGCAATAAGGCCAAGTCTAAGTTCTTTTTGCCCGGCGAGATAAAGGCCGCGACACCGGAGAGAAAAGTCGTTTTCCCTTTTGTTGGCATTCCAATTAAGAATCGGCAAATTTATTCCTACCGATAACGCTTCCGAGCCGGAAGTCACCCTTTAATTAATTGGCCGGCCGGCGGTTCTCCCCCCTGACCGATTATTTTCGCAAGAAAAAATAAGTTCCCTTGAGAAAGGCCGAAGGCGTCCGGCCACACCTCCATTTTCGGTATCGTTCGTATTTTTTTATTATTATTTTTTTTATTTTCGGGGCCGTCCAAACGTATGGCGGGTTTTTAAAATGCGGACTTGGTTTACGCCTAAATAAACGTAATAAAGAATCGAGCACTCGCCGTTTTAAATTTATCGTCTAATTCTTTAATTCCAAAACTTGCCGACTATATCGATTTAGTATTATTAGGTCCGTTCGTTTACCTATCTGGCGTACGTTTTTCCTATAGAAAATTCACAGAAAATGCTTTAATTTATTCGTGCGACGATGGTTTTGGAAGTAATGCCCTCGCCTTGGTCCGAGACATTTTTTAAATATTTCCGGCTCTTCCTCCACCGATTTTCTTTTCCCCACCTGTCCGTCTTATAAATACCCACGTGGCTAAACGCCTTCGTTACTGGTTTACGGCAGAAGAACTCCGCCACGCATTTCTAGAAATTAACCGACGTGTTCGGAAAATGTCAAATTTCCTCCACCCCGACAGTTTTCTTCCCCCCGAAACGACCACCTTGCCCGCATCACGTGGCCATTTTTGAACCATTCGGACGTCAACACGATTCCCGAAATGCCGTATAAACGCATGCGCCGGCCCCGCGCAACACATCGCCGCGTTCGAAACCCTTCGTAGTGTTCCGGCCGTATTTACAACACTATGACTTTATTTAATAAATTAATACCCGTAGCCTTATACGTAACGGTAGTGGTGGGCCAAGTAGGAGAAGACGACGTCCTGGTGTTGAAGAAAGACAACTTCGATCGAGAAATCGAAAACAACAAACACGTCTTAGTGGAATTCTGTAAGTATTTATCCTTTCTCTCCTCTCCCTCTTAAAATCTATCCTCTTCTTTATTTCCACTTTTAAATTATTGAATGTCGTCTCTTCCTCCTTATGCAGCGGTTGTTTTACTATTTACCTCTAAAATTCTTAAATTTTGTATTTACGTGTGCCTACGTGTGTATTTACCGTTGATAAGTTTTTGTAATTGATTAATATCGAAAAACGTGTATGTATTGTTAATTCCAAAGATCGTATCTTGACGGTTTAAATTACGCGTGTGTAAACGTCAACGAAAGTAAATCCGAGTCGGTAGGAAAACTGTAAACGATTACCGTAAATAAATACTTGCCGTGTGTCACCCGGGGCATGCCGATTACGTCATAAGGAACGGAGAGAGAATATACTGTGTGTAGGAAACTGTTAAGAAATTGCGAGGAATACGATTACGTACGTTTAAAAACTCGAGCTTAGAACTTTTACTTACGAATTACTTTATCTATTTTTTAAACAAACAATAGTATTTACACTATTATATTTGTTGTGTAATCTATGTTATGCTCACATAGGATTTTCTTCGTTTACATATTTATTCTTGCGTGTTCTGAACAAATATGTTACACTAGATAATATTTTTTCCACGGTTTTTCAAATTGCACCTGGTGTAGCTTTGTTTTCCACGTTTTTGCTACTGTTATTAGCCTGTATTTTAGTCTGTATTTGATGTTTAACTTGGTAAGTTCAATCGTGTTTTGTTTCTTGCAATTCACAGTATAAATCTTGTTTTGGCAGGTATTATTTCACATTGTTCGCACCAGTTTTCTTTTTTCTTCGAAAGTTGCTGTCTTCGGCAGTGCCGTAATTAGTCATTCCTGTGCCCTGTGCAAGAATTTGCATTTGGGCCCCTCTTCTAAGTGGGTCCTGTGTGGGTGTACCTGTTGCACCTGCCTAGTTACGGCACTGGTCTTCGGAGTAAATTTTTGATTTTTACATTTTTGCATTTCTGAAGAAGCGTGTTTGTGTATTCCCACGCTTCTTTTGTTCTTTGGCATTTGAAGAAAAGGTGTTCTGTTGTTTCTGTTTCGTTACACCCTTTGCACAGTGAATGTGGTTGAGATACTATGTGACGAGAGTGGAGGAAGTGTCCGGTAGTTAGGAGATTGTGAGACATTAACCGGTGCGTGTCTGTATTTTTTGAAGTGGTTTTTATTTTCTGGATGAGCTGCCATTTTTTCTTGTGGTCTATATTTGGACACTTTTCTATAATATGTGGTTCTTCTTTTATTCTGTTTAATAAGGTATGGTAGAGGGACTTGGTATTACTTTTGTCCCAGTCTGTGTCTGTTTACCTATTTTACAAAATCTGTAGATATTTTGGATGCTTCCTGATAGAAGGGTGATTGTATCCAGCTTCTTGCTCATAGATTTGAGTTTAAGGATTTATTGGTATTTCATAATTTCATTCCTATCCAGTATGTGGTTAACGGTGCCCACAGCTTATTGTCTCCCAGAATTAGTTCTTTTAAATGATTGAGAATTTGAGCTTTAATTTTTGTCTCTAGATGGGTCATGTTTATTCCTCAGTCCTGTATTTTGTTAACCATTATGTCTTTTTAATTTATCTGGTTTGTTATTCCATATTAATGTTTTAAAGCATAATGATTTAATTTTTTTTAATTACATTGCGGGGAATTGGGATAAAATTTGCCATAAACTGGATCTTGCTGCAAATTTGCAAATTAGTTTAATTTACCTTTCTGGATAAAAATAATCATAGATTTTCTTTTGAACGTGTGTGATGTTTCCCATCAATTGCCAAACTAAAAGACAAATAATATTATGATATTGTTTGTTTGTTGTCAATATGTTATGCTTGTTCTTTGGTGTTTCGTTGACGACGACCACTGAATGCTGAATTTTAAATACGAAAAGTGTCCATATCCCGTCAGAAGAAGAGACCAAACTTGTCTGTACTTTTTGAACCACCATGGCAACCACGGAGGCGGCTACAGCAAAATGGCTCGAATGCTGTCGGTGCACGTCCACGTTGGCTTTATTTTCCGCACTTGCGAACTTTCCATAATGGATCCGAGACATGGCAGAAAGATGGAGTTACTCAACGGGCATGTTTACCCAACCCAACCTTACGGTTTTTCCAGTAAACTTTATATATTAGTTATTGAATAAGATCACTTATTTTTATAATCCTATATTTATATCTGGTATCAAAATTTTATACAATTAAGCACCAAAAATATGACTTTTAAAATGTTTTTGTCGCACCAACTGAACCACCAAGTTTAAACATACTATTATTTTATACTTAGATATTCCATAAAATTTCTTGGTGTAGCATAATTTAAGAAATGAAATTTTGTAATTTTTTTATTTTAGATCTAACTGTAAAATAAATGAAAATTTTTAATGTTTTTAGGATATTTGAATGCAACGTATTGAAGTATCTTATTTACAAATTAAATGGCTTTTTATTTAAATATGTGTTGTATTGGATACAATGAAGTTTAAAAATAAAAATAATAATTTTGATTTCTTTATGGTAGTCTAACATTTAGACAATAAAAGCTACAATTCTAATAAAATTATTTAATATAAATATTTCAAGCAAGCTCGTAATTAGTTTATTTGAACAGCTGTGTCTAGAATGTTTTAGTGTTTTGTCAAGGAAGACAGTTTTACCTAATTAAGCATTTCCATGCAGTTGGTATTCAGGTGTGAAAGCAAAAGTGGCAGCTGTTCCTACTATGAACAGTTAGAAATGCAACATTAATGATCTATTTATAATAGTGAATAATTCTTTTATTTTTATTTAATTGTTTTAGTTTTTAAATAATGTTTTCTAATAGCAAAAAAGAATTTAAATTCTGTATAATCCAATTATCTAAATCTTAGGAAAACAGTTAAGAAAGAAACTTAAGGTTACATATTATTGTCAATAAGATTTAGTACAGAATTCCCTAATCAACTCTAATAACTGTAATCTGAAACACACACACACACACACACAATATATATATATATATATATATATAATTTGTCTGTATTTTGAAATTTCTTTTCCTAATATTACCATATATATTTTAATAAAAATTATAGACAGTGTGCTGTAGTGTTTGCTTATTATTAGAGGGTGACTATTGTTTCTATTCTTTAGGAATTGGGTGCAACTACCATTTGGGGCAGCTATTAATGGAATTAATCCAGTAACTTTTTTCACTTTATTAATATTTGAACAATAAAATAACACACGATACATAAAGATCATTTCAACGTATCTTAAGAGGGATGGTGTTAAACAGATATAAAAATCGCATCTTCCTCTAGTAGACAGTGCACTTATTAGATGAAACTATCTATAATTGATTTTGTTTTGCAGCTGCACTGTTTATTATAATAAATATAGAATTTTTATATGTTAAGGAAGTTCTTACTAAGACATGAATTCAAATGGCAGGATACAGAATTGAGTATAATTGTTGGCATTCTTACACATTAAAAGTTTATACCAAAGTATTTACCGTTACTTATTTTTAAGGAGGGGGCAATTATTAAGTTAGCTTATTAATGACGAATGATCGAACAACGTTGTATAATCATTTAATTGTATGATTAATCTTTCACTAATTATTGTTGGATATTTTTTAAAATATCTTATAAAATTTAACGAAAATAGAAATTTTAGTTTTTGACAGACCATAAATAAATAAACTAAAACTAAAATTTGGAATGCTAAAAAGCATTCCAAATTTTAGTTTTAGTTTATTTATTTATGATTTAAAATTGTTGTATGAAAATATTGAAAAATGAATTACGTAAATTGTTCTCGATCCAAGTTGGATTACTCCTGTGTATTTTAATAGTCAGAGATTTGATTTGTATTCAAAGGAAGGAAAGACTTTGACTGTTTTGTTCTTTTTCATAGTTTCCATTAGTTAGTAAGAAGCATTGCAGTCTGTTTATTCAGTATCATAGCCAGGTGCACAGCATAATTGCACCATTGCAATAAAGAAAAGGGACTTGCAGTTGCTTAAACTGTCCTTTCAGTGCCATTCAAAGTTTTCTACCAAAAATTGTGGGGGGGAAATTGTTCTGTAGTAAATCAATAGTATAAACCTCCACTCCATGTTTTTTATCATCCACTCTTATGATTTAAAATGTAGTAGTCAATTTCTATACAAAATATTTTGAATAAACCATAATATTTTTATTTTCACAAAAGTTAATTAAATTAAAATATTTTTGGAGTAGAAGTTCCTAGCATCTTTAAAATTTCAGAAACAAGAGGTTTTGTCATCAGTAACATTTTTTCTTACTTAACTGACAGTTAGGTGTGACCATTATTGACAGTTAAGATTTTTACGTGGTCCATACAACAAAGAATTGGACACACATTCTGATAGTCAAGTCCAAAACTATTTAGATTTTTTCCTGCTCCAAATTGTTGCTGTAGAGTGTGTACTGTCCACTGTGATGTTTTAATCTTTTACACAATGCAGAAGAAAACTGTCTTTATAGTCAGTGAGAAGCAAGAAATTTGTGCATACAGTGAAGCATATCTAACAGGCTTTCAAAAATATGTTGCTAGTCACTTTTTTCTTCTCTGGAAGAAAATGTAAAATAGACATACAGTATGAGATATTTTAAATCAGAAAAATGAGTGGATGGATGCAGAAAATAGAGCTGCTATAAAATTGAAAACTAGAAAGTATGACAAACTTGAAAAAGCATTAACGATGAGGATTGCATAAGTAAATGCTAAGAATGACATTGTCATAGATAATGTGATAAGAAAGCAAGCAGAAATATTTAGAAAGCAGATGATATAACAATTTCAGTTGTGGGAATGGGTAGATGTATTAGTTTAAGTAGCATCATTGCACATCAGAGTGAAACTGCTGAAGTTGATTTGGATGTTGTAGAAGGGGGAATAACTAGTCTGTTGACAAAATAGAGCTGTATGATATGAAAGATGTGTATAACATAGATGAAGCTATCTTATTTTA